CCCCCAGCGTGTCCCGGGCTCCGCTGGCAGGCTGAGCTGAGAGCCGAGCGATGTCTCTCATAACCACATCCAGATGTGCCTGCTTGGCAGCCCGCTGCACACACGGCACCGCGGGGACGCGGGATCAGCGCTATCGAATGGGCTGTAAGTATCTATTGAGTGTGTTTGATCTCGGGGGGTTGGGGAGGGTTGTGCAGCGAGCAGGGTGGACTGGAGTCTGTCCTTACTGCTTCCCTTTGCTCCCAGCTTTTCTTTTTGCCTTGCTGCTCTCGAATTGTGTTAAATGCGGCAGGCCGGCCCGTGATGGTTAACACGCAGCAGGCTCGGCTGCAGGCTCCAGCCCCGAGACATTTGCTTTACTCTTTACTTTCCAAAGAACTTTCTTTGAATGTTTAGGTTGTTTTTACAGAAATTTGGGCCTTCTTTAGACAATGCCTGCAGTGCTCTGAGACGGGGTTTCCTCCTCTCAACCACAGACATGTCCCAGTGGTGGTATGTTACATTTACAAGCCATTCTTCATCAGTAAAAGGACATGAATCTCCTCCATGTTACACTCTAGTATGCTGTGAGCAAAACATGGGAATTTTCAAGCTCTCTAGGGTCACAAAGATAGAAAAGAATTTAGCCCCTGTGAAACATCAGGCAGTTACTTATATTTTTAATAGCTATTGGGCAGATTCTGAGAAACTTATGTGTTGGGTATAATCTTGAAATTAATGGGGTACATCAGCATGTACTCCCTGTGTCTACCTCGAGTTAAATTTTCAACACCCTGTCTCACCATCTGCCATGGATTTAACAATACCTCCATGCTACTGCACTGCAGTTGCTTGGGTTTAGGGTGCATTGGGCAGATTATCTATCAGAAGAGGGTCTGGGAGCTGAAGAGCTGGCGAGCACTGCAGCCTGGGGAGGGCTGGGGGAGGAAGGTGTTTGTTTCAGTTTCTTACTCCTTCACAAACCTGCAAGGCTTTATTCCCCTCCCGGGGTCCAGAAAAAATAACATTTGGAAAAGAGACAGCAGGTTCCTTACCTTGGCTACTCGGGATGGATCTGTCCTCTCCCCAGAGCACTCAGGGTGTGAGATGAGCTGCTGAGCCCTCTGCCACTCTGAAAATCAGACTGCCAGCAGCAGGACTGCATCTGCAGGTAGGACAGTACCTCTGGAGGCTGCTGAGCCTGCAGAAAGTCATCGGGCTTTACCTTCTCCTACCTTGCAGGTGGCTGAGCACCTGTTAGAGGTGTGGGGGGCCCAGCCCATGTGCCTGGCACAGCTCAGTGCTCAGCTCGGTGCTCTGCAGGCACTGCTCCCTGCCCAGGAGGGACAGAGAGCATCAAGCACTGCCTTCAGGAGCTGCAGCCCCAAACTGTGCCCTGAGTGCTTACACTGGGCCAGCAGGGCCAGGGGAGCAGGGGGAGCTCCTTCCCAGAGCTCAGTCCTGCAGGCAGCTGCTCCTGCCCAGGCTCAGCAGGGCTCCCGTGGGACTGCAATCCCCAGCAAGGAGGGGCCAGTTCCTCTCTGGGACCCCTGCATGTGCAAACAGACACCTCAGCAGCCTCACACAGCAGCTCTGCAGCTCCTCTGTGTTTGAGTTTCTGCATTTCACAGAAGTTTCTCACTGGGTTGGAAGGTGAAGGAGGCGACCACAGCAGCCATTTGCAGCAGTGACCCAACGTGACTGGCATTGCAAAGGGAAGGCTGGCAGTGCCAGCAGGAGAAACTGCAATAAAATGGGACCAGCCAGCTGGGAAGCTGAGCAAACTACATATTTGAGGACTGAGGCAGGCAGACAAATAAGGCACCCTGTCCTGTAACAGCATGGATTTCATCCATACGTTTGCTCTGGCCTGGAAAAAAATTTAAAAATGCCCTGAAAAGCAGCTCTGACAGGAAAGTTGGAAATTGTTTTTGGAGCAGGGCCTGCATTTTTGTTACCTGCTTCCTCAGTATTTGACTCAACAGAGCTTTTGCCTCCAGGTGCTGCAGCAAATACCAGCAGCAGTGATGCTGCAGTGCTGCACTGGGCAGCTCTTTCTCCCTGTGCTCCCTTGGTTCTGGTTCAGGAACCCAGTTCCTGGGACAGCTCTGAAGACACTCAGCTAATTAAATCCTACAGCCTGCTCTCAGTTTGTTTATAGACTTCAGAACCTGTAAGCAGCTGAATAGGATGAGTTTTTATCTGGTAAGGCAGCACAGCAAGTGTTTTGGTTATTTCATTTTTCTAGGGCTTTGCACTTACCAACATGCCAAAAGGGGTCTTTGTATTTCAGCCATCTCTGTCTTCTAATCAAAAAGATCAAATCATTCAGCATCACTTTATGACCCTGTAACTCCAAATGAAAGCACTCTCCTCTTCACAAGCACTCTGAAATGCAGAGAGGAGTTGTTCAACACCAGGGCCACTTGAAGCCATGACTTTGATAAGGTTATTGACCTCATCAATAGATAAAGGGTCATCTCATCTATGAGTGGGGCAGTAGAAAAGCAAAGAAAGAAAGAAAGAAAGAAAGAAAAAGAAAGAAACAAACCCCAAACCCATGGAGGAATAAAGGCCATTACATGACACCCAAACAGAAGTAGAACACTGCTTCTTCCCCTGCTCCAACACACAGAGCTACTCTTCCCCTTTAAACAGTTCAGCAAGACATTTAAGTTAAAAGTGGTGCAGGCACAGGAGTCAAACACTCTCACAGCCCTCAGGGGTGCAGGGGATGGGACCAAGGGTGCCAGAGGGAAGATGCAGCCCCCAGGGCTGCAGGCAATGCAGAGTTCTTGGTGTCAGCATCCTGCTCTGGTGGCTGAAAGCTCACCTGCACACATCTGTTCCACACAGCTCCAGCTGCAGCATGGGCAGAGGGAATGTCATTATTGCTTCTTGAACAGGGTCAGGATTTTTCCTGAGGCAGAGGAACCAGGTGAGGAGGATCCTGGGAGTTTGCTTTGCTCTTGCTGAGGGAATCTGAGTGGAAAAACTCCTGTAAATGAGGCAGGAGAGGGACACGTGTGCAGCCTTTTCCCCTTGCAGGCCAGAGCTGGGGCAGGTCTCAGTATCCAGCCCTGGCTGCTACAAGATGACTTTGTTCTTGTGGAATGCATTCAGCAAACATGAAATGAAAACAAATATCCCAAACCTGAAGCACTGCCTCAAAGTATCCCCACCACCAAGATTATACAATCTTCTCTGATGATTACAAAAAATCCCCATCAAACCCATCAGTGCTGGATACCCCACACTTTCTTTAGCTCATTTTATGGACAGACAGATGGGACACCTCCATCTGCAGCCACAGCCCCACACGTTCCGTGGGTACACAGTGTCCCTCTGCTGCCCAAGCCAAACCATCCCGTGGCAGCTCCAGCATCAGCAGTGAGGGGTCAGGAGGGAGCTGGGAGCACTGCCCTGCAGCAGGGAGAGGCTGATCCAAGGACACCCCACAGCTTGGGTGGGATGGATGTTTCTGTGAGCCAGGCTGGGATGAGTGGGAAGCAGAGCTCATTGCTGGTTTTGTGCCCCCATGCTCAGTGCATCATGTTTTCAGCTTGATTATCTCAGCTGCTATTCCCAGGGCTGGCTGGATCAAACAACCATTCCTCAAGGCACAAAGCAGCGTGCCAGAATCACCAAGGCCTCTTGACTGAATCTGAGCACAGGATCCAGAGGACTTTTTCCTACTCTGGCCCTGAGCAGAACTGATGGATGTGATGAATGCTGCAAAAAGAATTGCCAGGATGGGCTCAAGGTTTCATATCATTCACCTGGGAATGAAGGGCTAGCAATTTATTTTTTTTATCATCACTTGACTGCTTTTATTGCAGCTGTTCTTGGCCATATTTCAGAATCCTCCTCTCAAATAAATGAAAACCAGGCAGAGGACTGGGCCCTCTGCCCTAGTGTGCAGCAGCACAGGTCAGACTCCTGCCTGGATGCTCATCAGGGTGCCATGAGCACCCTGGAGGGGCAGCTCTGGCCCCTTCCAGCTTTCCAGCCTTTCATTGTCTCTTGGGCTTTGCAGGCTGTGCTCCCCTGGTTCTTCCAGCTCATTCCCTATTTATGGCTGCCCATCTTGCCATCTCCTCTTCCTCCTGCCCAGCTCAGCCCTCTGACATTGCTGGTGCCCAGCCCAGGATGGAACATCCCCAGCCCCATTATCCCACTCAGACCCCATCAGGCCAGACGCAGCCCCCCTGTGTCCATCCCCACAGAGCCAAAGAGGGGCAGCTGCCTGCTTTTCCAAGCTGGGAGGACACAGGAGGCACTGCTGGCAGCCAGGCCATTCCTCAAGGCCCTGAGTGATGCAGTTTGTAAGCCCAGCTCCATTTCAGGTTGGATGGAGGTTCCCCAGAGCAGCAGAGGAAGCAGAGGTGCCTCTGCCTCGGACCCTCAGGGATGTGCTGTGCTGAGAGACACTGCTGTGCTCTCATCTCTTTCCTTTGGCATCACACATTTCCTGCTCACTTTGATAGCCCTGTAATTCTTTTCCCCTGGTGTCAAGGTGGATGAATAATCCTTTTGGCTTTAGGACATGCCAGAGCCTCTGCCAGAATCATCAGTCCCTCTGTATTCGAGAGCAGAACAGCTTTTCCCACACTGACATCCACGGATAGAGCTTACACCACTGTGACAATCAAGGGTATTTTCCTTCCAAAGAAGGAAATACCTAACAAAGACTGGAAAATCCATATAATTAGATCAAGGAATGACTTCAAGGGCTGGCAACTTCATTTGAAAATGAGAGCTCTGTATTCAGCACTGAACTGTTTTATTTCAGCATGGAAATCACTCTTTCGGATCCTTTACTTTCAATAAAAGAAAACACTGAGGAAAATCTGGGCTATCTGCCCAGGCTTGTAACAATTCAGGGTTTTTCTTGGCTTTTCCAAGGGCACTTATTGCCAGATTCTGAGATGCTGGCAGTATGAAGCTGCAAGCCATGGAAATTACGAGTTTCATGACACGCTCGTTTTATTCCAAACCTTTGTCGATAACATTAAACACAGGAAAAATCCAGGACTTTCATCCAGCTCCTTAATTACCATCTGAAGCCTGGAAGCTGAAATAAGATCAAACTTTTGCATAGAAAAGGAAAAAGAAATTTGCTGTGTTCTGTGAAGAAAGAGAGGGGACTTCAGATGTAAAATGCAAACCAACATCCTATACGTGTCAGGAGGGACTGTTCCATGAGGCTGAGCATGGTTCTGAGCCAAGCCACGTGGCAGAAAGAACATAAACAGAAAACAGATCCTGAATATTCTAAACATTTGTACAACAATTTACAAGAGAGCTGAGAAAACTGTTCAGTCCTGCTATTAGTAACAAAGTTATGCCAGTGAAAACATCTGCCTAGGAGAGGAGTGAAAGGTAAACAAAAAAAGCTAACAAATGAAGAAAAACCTCTGTCACAGAGCAGGAAAAAGCAAGAAACAAGGCCTAAGGAAAAAACCCATGGTCATCAGGACAAGGCCAAAGGGATTTTAAATCCACCAGGAATGCAAAGAGCCTTACACCAAGGCATGGGTATGCTGTTTTCCAAAATAATGATTTCATAAATAATGGAGACAAAGAGAATAAGGTCAGTAAACATTTTGGAGCTGCTTATCTTTTTCCCAAGATAAGAAATAGCATATGATGGTGAAATACTCTATTTCAACAGTACCTTGGAGCTGAAGCTAACTAGTAATGAAAAACACAGTATTTAAATAATGATGTCCAAACAATGTGCATCTAAGAATTTTAAAGGGTCTGGCCAGGAAATCAACTGGTGTAATAATTTTCTTCCTCTTAAGTCTTGAAATATTGCTTAGATATCACAGGTATTGGTACAAAACCACTGTTTAGTTACTTCATTATTACAGACTCATCAATCTAATTTTGAGTTTGAAAACTTAACATTATGGCTGATACAAAATGGCTGCTTAATGAACAATTAGCAAGTGAGCCAATCCAGGACAGTATCTGCTGAAAACAGATACCACCAAACTCTTACCAAGCATTTGCACCTTGTCCTATCACTGTATGCCCTCATCAAACATCTCTCTCCAGTTTTGTTTATCCCAGAAGTCATCTTTGGACATGATCTCAGCTAATTCAGGACAGAGAACTGTAATACCTTCACAGGCAGCTTCTCTTAGTACAGCACAGGCAAGAGAGAGCCACAAATCACACATGAACCTGATACATTATTAGTGGGGGCATAAAATACTTGTGGGGAAATTTTCAGGTGGGGCTCACCTTCCTTTTTGCTGAGGACAGGAGGAATGGTGATGGTGATGGGAATGGATCATGGGAATGATGATGGTCACCCACCTCCTCCTGGAGCAGCTGTGGGGTCCCTCTGCTCTGCTGTTGTTGGTGCAGGGAGTGGCTGCACCCACAGGGTGATGAGAGGACCTGCTGCTTGCTGCCTTCTTACTCTTTCATTCTCATTTTGTTTGCAGTTGAAGAACTGATCAAATAAGACAGAAGATCTCCAGGAAAAGTGTAAGTGAGGAAAAATCCTGTATTTCAAAAGGCAGCTCCACCTATCATACATGAACCAAATTTTCCTATCATGCTGTGCCTTGCTTTTGCATATTAGGATTTATTTCCCCACCTCTCACTGAGGGGAGTTAGGGTGATTTGGCACAGGAAAAATACCCATGGCCCCTTCTAACCTTATAAATGGAAGTTACTTACAATGGTTTAATATTTTTTAAAGAATTCTGGCAGGAGAAAGGTCCTGTGTGAATTCCAGATTGTACCCAATGCATTCATTTTGAGTACAAATCACAGTTTACCAAAAGTTGGCTCCATGTGCAGGGAAACACCAGCAGCACACTGCCATGAGGAGTCTGCCCTTCAGCAGTCAGCTCTGGGCCTTCCAGGTCAAAAAGAATAAAAGCAGCAAGTAATGGTTGTCAAGCTAGGAAAAAAAGGTCATTATTTATGGGAGAATGGCATCATTCATAATTTTCCACTTTGCTTTTCCCAGTGAAATCTCTGAAATGACAAAGCACGTTCAGCAGTAAGGGATGCAGGATTTTGGGTTGTGCTTAGAGGGTGGTTTTCAGGATGATGGACGATTGCTTAACCAAGTCTCAGAGCTGGCTGGCACTGGGATCAGCAGTAAGTTTGCAACCCTGTGTGCCTTTTGACAAGTTTCTCAATGTCTCACTGCTTGTGTGAGTAAAATGTGCTTTGCTGCTGGGTTTTTAAATGATGTTTAGTCTTGCCTGCCTGCTTCAGACCTGCCAAATCCTCACTGCTGACACACTCTGTGTTCATTTACAGATGGGCAGTGGTGCCAGGCAGCTCAAACACAGCTTTTAGCAGTCCCAGGAACAGCAGAGAGACAATGAGAGTTCGCCTCAAAGGGGATGTGATCTGCACCCTCCTCCTGCTGGTGGCGCTTTGTTCTTTGCTCTACTCCCAGCTGGAACATTTGATCCCAGCAGGAAAGAAGGAGCCAGCACAGAACAAACCTCGAGTGGCACCAAAAATATTCTCTGATCCCAGAGCACCTCGGAGGCTGATGCCAGCAAAGGCAACTGCACCCAGACCCCGAGTTACCCCTGCCATGAGACCAACAGAAGTGGCTAAAACCAGGGTCCAAACTACAACTCCACCCCCACTGACTGATTCTGCCTTCAACTTCAAGCTCTATCTCCTAAACAAGGACAACAGGAACTTCAATCTCCTCATTAACCAGCCCAGGAAATGCCGAAAGACACCGGGAGGTCCCTTCCTGCTCATCGCTATCAAATCCGTGGTTGAGGACTTTGACAGGCGTGAGATTGTCCGGAAAACGTGGGGCAGGGAGGGTTTGGTGAACGGGGAGCAGATCCAGCGGGTGTTCCTGCTGGGAACACCAAAGAACAGGACAGTGCTGGCAACATGGGAGACCCTGGTGCACCAGGAGAGTCAGACATACCGGGACATCTTACTCTGGGACTTCATGGACACTTTCTTCAACCTGACCCTGAAGGAGATCCACTTCCTGAGCTGGGCTGCTGAGTTCTGCCACAACGTGAAATTTATTTTCAAAGGCGACGCTGATGTTTTTGTCAATGTGGAGAACATCGTTGATTTCCTCAAGAGGCACGACCCCACTGAGGACCTCTTTGTTGGGGACATCATCTACAACGCGCGTCCCATCCGCGTCCGGAAGAGCAAGTACTACATCCCTGAGAGCATGTATGGGCTGAGCATCTACCCCGCCTACGCCGGGGGAGGAGGCTTCCTGCTGTCCAGCTGCACCATGAGGAAGCTCTCCAGGGCGTGCAGAGAAGTGGAGCTCTTCCCCATTGATGATGTCTTTTTGGGCATGTGCTTACAGAGAATCAACCTCAAGCCCGTTTTGCACGAAGGGTTCAAGACCTTTGGCATTGTTAAGCCTTCTGCTGCCCCACACCTGCAGACCTTTGATCCCTGTTTTTACAAAGACCTCATGGTGGTTCATAGCCTGAAAGTTGCTGAGATCTGGCTGATGTGGAACCTGCTCCACAGCCCACGGCTTTCCTGTACTCAGAAGAAGCAGGTGAAGAAGCCTTTCCAATGGAAGAAGAAAGCTCAGATAACAACACCAGCATCACCCCTCAGATAATGCAGGCAGAGTGCAGCACACACAGCAAACCAGCCAAGAAAGGGAGCCTGGAACTGACACTGCCCAACAAACCAACTTTCCAAGTATTTTAGCATGTCTTATTTACATTAAGAGAAGACAACAAACAATTGCAGGAATTTGCCCAAATTCTACATTCGCACATACATATCATGTGGGTCCTTGTGTACTAATGAGTCCAAATAATCATAACATATATATAATTTATTATTATTTATTAGCATTATAGTAGTGCCTAGTGGGACAGTGTGCAAAAGCACATTGAAAAATGCAGCCCTTGGACATTTTTCAGCATGGTCAGAAGTGTGAGAAATGAAAGAAGACAGGGTAAGAACAGACACCAGGGAGCACAGGGATCATTGTCAACTTCCTGCTTGACTTGGACTCATTGAAAAAAGTGCAGGAAATGGAGTCCCCTTAGTGTCTGCTCAGATCACATCACTGCTGCCTGGTTGGTTTTCCACAGGCCTTGTAAGAAGAGAACAACAAACAGCTCCTGAAATGGGGTCCTACAGTTGCAGTTCAGGTGGATTACAAGAAATCGAACTGGATGCTGAGGCAGTGTGGCTGGTGGAGCAAAGGAGAGGTAAGTAGATGACTGGAAAGGAGCAGACTAAAGGGCCTTAAGAGAAAGGACAAGAAATTCAAATTGATCACTTTGAATCTTGATTTTTCATCATTCTTCTCAGTTGAAGTATCTGCTCTACTGACATGCTCAAGATTCAGGGGACCAGTGGAACAGGTTTTGGCACTTCCCTGAGCTCAGGCTTTCTGCACTGCACTGACTGACATTCATGGAAAATTCAGAAGTCACCAACAGTATTGGATCACTCTCAGGATCTGACCCAGATTTTCAGAAGGTTTGCATCTGGAGAGATCCTTTGGCCTCTGCTCATAAGCATAACCCCACACAGAGCTGCTGCTTGCATCACATTTGGGAGCTGCTTCAAACCAAAGAGTGCACTGGGCTGGTTTCTACAGACCTTGGGCTCTTGCTTGGCACAGCCAGCTGCAGAGGGCAGCCAGGGCTCTCATACTGCTGCAAATGTCATGTGAAGGGAGAAAGTTTTCAGACAAAAGGACTTCAGAATAAAAGTCCATCTAAATTTATTGCAAGAAATCAAAACCACACAGCAATCTTTCTGTTGGCTTTCCAAGGTTCAGTCAGGAGCTTTGTGAGTATTTTAAGCATCAGACAAGAACACTGAATTGCTCAGTTTTTCAAAGTATAGTCCAGACTTTGATGCATTTTGTTTTTCCCAACAGCAGACTACCTTAGAAGAATATACTTTTATCAGGCATCAAAGCAGAAGTGAACTCCTCTAAATCAGGGTTACAAAGCTGTGAAATTCATGGGACAAAGAGCCTGAATTCACCTCTGATACTGTGTTTGTTCATTCTTTTACAAATTTTTACCCCTTCAGCAAAACTCCTGTCCATCAGAGAACCCCTCAGGATGGCACATCCACACAGCTTCAAAGGAAATTACAATCAGCCATGAAAGAAAGCCCAAAGTTCCTTTCCCTTGCACAGAGCCTGGAGCACAGCTGCATTTCATATCTGTGGGTGAGCTCCTTCCCTCCCTCCCTCCCTCCCTCCCTGCAGCACTTTGGGCTCAGTGCTGGTACTGACAATGCACAGGGAGAGCAGCAGGCTGGCAAACAGCCCATGGACAGCAGCTTTACACATTGGTAATCTTCATCAGGAGTTCAAGCCTTACAATAATGTATTTCCAAGAAAAACTCAGCTTTATAGAAATGGAAAGATTTCTACATTTAAGATATTTTCAGGATGCAATCCTGAAATACAAAATGTTCACGTGAGCTTCACAAGGAGCTTTGCAGGGTGTGGGACTAAGCCAAAGCCTCACTGGTAGGACAAAGTCACCCCTGCCCATGTCTGCTAACATGTGTGATACATGTGTGTTTATGAGACTGTACAGAAATGTATTACCTGGGAGTAGTTTACAGTTTGGGAAATTATTTATATCATCATTAAAAGACAGCATGCAGATGTGCCTCTTGTCAGAGTGAGTTTGTCATGTACACCTGCACACATGTTGTAAGACTAAAACCACAGGGGTTTTTCATGAAGACAGTCACATGAAAAATACATTATTCATTATTTTGGATAACTTGGTAAGTGTTTCCTTATGCTGGACTTATTTTAATGGCAATGACAGAGAAATAAACAGAGTTTACCTTGTGATTTCCTATGAGGCACCTAGTCAGGTTCAGCAGTCCTCATTAAGGTTTTCCTTTTACATTTGAAGATGCAGAGGTTGGGTCCTCCCTCTGTAATGTGTTGAGATCTGCAATCTATCCACAGCACAGCATTAATGAGTGCATTTTGTCCCAGATCAAAGCTGTTGTTCAACATCTGTGTTGACACAGTCTGTGCCAGCACACACCCTGATGGCAGAAACAGAACTTGAGTAAACTGTTTACTCTATTATCTTAGTCTATAGAATAGCTCACTTCTCTTATCCAGTGAATACCAGAATCTCTCCTGATGAAAGATCCATCTGGTTTTGTTCTCCAGCTTCTGCTGCATGGCCTGTTTGACCTGGTTTAAGTTTCCATTTGCCTCTGCAGCTGAGCTGGAAGTTCACAGACACCACATGTGAGGATAATGCTCTGGGGAATGCTGAGGGCTGGGCTGTAACCCCTGCAGTTCATTGAGTTCTGCTTACTGCTACAGTAGGCAAAGGCTTTGGCCTCACCCAGGCTGGAGATTGTTTCCATAAGGATGGGGGTCTTTTCAGAAAACCCTAAGCCCCAGGTATTTATGATAACTGGCAGGAAGGAGCCTCTACCAACCCTTCTGATGCATCACAGAAACCCAAACCATCCTTTTCAGAATGACATTCTGAGTAGGTTTTATTAACTGGCCAACTGAGTGCACCAGTCACACTTGCTATAAATATTTGCTTGGCAATTCTTTTCGTGACTAACCCAGGACAAGAAAACATTAAAAGAAACATTAAAACATCCTAAGTGGGTGCCACCAGTAGCAAACAAGGCAAGCAGACTTTCTCAGTATAAACTTCTGACACTAATACAGTACAGTAAGCTTTATGGAGTCCCAAGCATCCACACACAGTCAAGTTTTGTTCCTGCTCTACATAAGTGGCCAGATTTGGTCACTGCAATGAGCAGAGCTGGCTTGAGCCTCACATTCAGCACCTCCAAGTGCATCTCTGGACACACAAACCGGTAGGGAATGCCAAGATCCATCATTCAGTCAAGCCACTGCAGACTCAGACATCACAAAAAAGAAAGCCAGAGAGGACTCTGAAGGAATTCAGTATTAAAATCTTGTGCTTCCTGTCTGCAGCTTAATTATTCATCTTTCTACAGCAGGTTCTCAGAAGCAAACCTCAGCTGCAAACTCCAACAGTACAAAATAATCAAACAGCTCAGAGACCCTTCACTACATATCAGCACTGAGAACATTCCCTGGGGAGTGCTGAAAGACTCAGATCAGAGAGAAAAGAAGTCAGTCCCAAAGTCCAGCATGAAAAACTGCTGATCTCCTGGGCTGTACCTCTTGCAGCTGGACTTGCAAGTCTCAGCAGCCCAGAAAATCTGCCCACTACATGTCCCTAATGATGCTACTAACTGCAGTGACAGCTTTAAAAACCAGTAAAACTTTCAAATACAAATTTTCATTATTTTCTAGGCTTATGATCAGTAAGAAAACCATACTGAGGAATGAGGGTGAAAGCGAAGAGCAAAGTAAACCCAAAGGAGGAGCACAAGTGAGTCCCTGCAAGAGTGGCAAACAGCTCCCCCACCATTCCTGGCCAGCCTAATGCCCTCTCCAAACCATTCAGACTCAGCTCATGGATCTTCTCTCTCTCCTTCCCTTTCCCAGCCCATCTGTTGGCAATCCCTTGGAAAACCTTGGAAAAAACCCAACACAGGTCTGCAGTGGCAGCCTTGTCCCAGGGGGTGCCTGGCCTGGGTGGGAATCAAGGTGTGACAGTGACAAATGGTGTTTACAGCCAGAGAAGCAGAATAGGGAGGAATAATCTCTGTAACCTCCCTACTTGTGGATGCAGCAGAGCTTACCCAGCAAGGGACAGGGTAAATTCAGAATTTCAGGGCTGCAGCTTTTCTGAGATGAGCAGAGGGGAAAAGGGAATACAGCAAAATCAGGCTGGTTTGATAATTTAGTTGATTAGATTGCACATTGCATAATCATGCAGGGCTTTCTGTGATTGGTATTTAAACTAAATGTCTCTCTGAAGGATAATAATAAAAGAATGAAACTTAAGCACTCAGTGGAATATATATATATATATATATAGTGTAGGTGTAAAGCATTAAGGCACTTAAAACCATCTTCCAGAACTGGAATATACAGTACTTTAAAATAACTAAAGGAATAAAATTTAAAGGGAAATTCATTAATGTATGAAAAAGATAATGTTAAACCAGCCAATCCAGAACAAAAGTTACAGTAATAATGTTATCTTACACCACAATGAGTGCCCAACTCTGCAAACTTCAGCTTACCTTTCCTGCTGTTTCAAGCACTCATTTTTTCCAGATCATGAAGAGAAATGATTTCACCTGTTGGAAAAACAGACATCTCCACAAACACCACAAGAGCTTGGGATGTGAGCTTTGGCAGATAAATATTTTAACAGCGACTTTATTAGTTACAGCAAAAATTCACATAGGCAAAGATGATGGTATTTAAGTTGCACCAGAGCCCTCCAAGGAACACATACATTCTCCTCAAAAAAATCCTTCATGGGCTCTCCTTTACTAAGCCTATTTTTAATGCTAAAGAGTTTCATCTTCAGTAAGATCCAACTTTCATTTCCCTTTGCTTTACTTCAGCCTTGCCTTACCTCTCTGAAACAACCTGGTTCACACTTTATATGAAAAGAACCACCAGAACTAACCAGTATTTTAACTCCACACACACACACACACACAGTGAGGTATTTATCTCCTACAAGTGCTGTGTCACATTGCGGCTGACAGTCAGGCAGACAGGAGGGGCCTTTGCACTGGTGTAATCAAGGTTAAAAAAAAGGGTGTTTATCAGGCAAAAGTTGACAGAGAAAAATTGTAACTAGCATAGAATAACGTTTCTTGCATCGTAATAGCAAAAATTATTCTGAACACAACCAGCCCATGGGAAATTGTGCCAAAACAGACAACTTGGTCTTTGCCCAAATACTCTGCAGAAAGCAAGCAGACAGGGCTTGGACACAACATTTCTTTCAAAGTAAGAGCCACACTAACTCACACAGGCAGATTTACTTGCACATTTTGAGCCACCAAACACAAAAACCTAGCAGAAGTTCTGGCTTAGAATAGTGACTAACAGGTCCTAGCAGCAGGTAGAGAGTCAGTGTGAAGGGGGCAGCAACATCCTTGATTTCCCTCTGAAAACAGCAGCTGGCCCCTCACCTCCAGCCAGCCCCAAAGCAAAGATAAATCACCATCTCCTTGTAGTGCTGAAAGATTTTGTTTTAAACAGGTTGGAAGGGAGCTCTGGAATTTGAACGATCATGATCGCATGAATCAGTTCTCACACACCATATGATTAGTCTTTCAGGAAAAAAAAAAAAAATTTGTTTAGAATTAAAAATGTGGCAGTTCCTGGCAAGAGAAGATTGCTTTTTCTTGTCAGAACTGCATTTTGGGGAACAGAGAGTTCTAGTATTACACAGCAGTACTTATCTATACAGCACTGCCTGGAACCATCACAGGAGCCCAGGAGTGCTGGAAGGCTGAAGAACAGGTGAGGAAATGTCAGCTTCACTTCCTTAAAGAAGAGCACAATGATCAGTTTTATCAAGTATAAACAAATTAAATACTGTGGACAGTACTGCAATATTCAAGTTAAACACACACACACACACAGACTCCTCACCTCTTAACAAAGGAAAACAGCACACATCACAAGGTGATCAATGCACTACATGTTTTATTAAAAATGCAATTGTACTTAACTTTATATCAAACAGTTTTATCACATGAATCCAAAATGGTGGACCAATGCACATGTTGCCAACATGCAGGATATGTATCAAACCACACAGGATTATCACAAGGAACAAGGCCACCTGCAAAATGGGATCTGATGCAGCCCAAACCTCTCAGTTCCTTTGGGAGGGGGCAGAGCTGGCCCCTTGCCCCCCTGAGCAGCCCTTTGCCCAGAGGAGCTCTTGGTTCAGGTGACCTGCCTCACCCAGCCTCCCTTTCCTTCCTTCCTGCCACACTGCCAGCCTTGCCCTGCCCCCAGAGCTCCTCTGCTCCTTCCTCTCTTCTGATTCAAACCCACCAGTCACCTCTACCCATCCCTGAACTTCTCATGCCAGCAAGTCCTTAAATGCTCCACCATGCTTCTCTAATGCATCAGCTCAGGAACAGCTTGGCTTAGTCCAAAAAGGAGCAAACAAATCAAAACATCTCAGACAAGAGAGTTGTGAACAGCTGCATCCACAAAGGGTGGGTGAGGAAATCCATAAAAGCAGCTCCACATTGTCTCTCCTGGTGCTTCTTCAGATCTGCCTCTCCCAAAAGTCAAATGCTATGAGCTCAGCCCAGCAGCACCAGCCAAGATGCAAAATTGCCTTTCATTTTTTTGTCTGTGCAGAGAATTTTTCAATATCAAGGGGCTGACCTAGAGAAGTATATGGGTTGTTAAGAGAGAACTGTTAATTATCAATACTATTTCAGTCACTAGGTCTCACCAGAGCATGACAAGTGAAGCTGGGAGCCACTGTAGTTAACAAATACCACAGGTTGGCTGCTGCTCCTGTCCTAGGTCTCAGGGTTCATACTACAGCAGCAGGCCTGACCTCACTCCTCTGAAGAACTTCAACTCAATGTGCCTGAGGGCAGGATATTGGTGGCACCTCCATAGCCATCACTCAAATCATCCCATCAAGGATTTATCTCCTCTTGCAGCTTATCTGGAGCCTTTATTAGAAAAGGATGGATTAAAATTAAAGTTAGCATCAGGATTGCTGTCACATTTTAGTAATAAGAATCAGCACACACAGCATCTCAGTTGAGAGACCACAGCATTCTGTGAGAGCCCCCTGAGCCAGGGCAGGCAGGGTGAGGCTGCAGGAGTCCCTTCCCTGTGCCCTGCATTAACCTTGGAGCTGATTCAGGGCACAGAGACTCCCAAAGCTTTTCTGTGAAGGAGAATTCACATTTGCAGCTTTCACTGCAGGCATTTCCTCCCTTCTGCTGTGCAATATTCCCCTCTTTGAAGCTCAATTGATTTCCATGATCCCCCAAGGGCCCACAGGAGCATAACAATCTCATTTCTGAACACAATGCAGAACCCACAGTGCTATCAACCACAGTTTAAAGACTTCTCCACTTCAGGGCAAAACCTTACAAAATGCTTTCATGTATCTTTCAAGTTATGTTAGTTACTGTTTCTTTGGAGAACACACTGAACTGGCTATAAAGTCACTATACACTAGTCAGGTACTTCTAATACAATGGCTGAAAAACAGTAAAAAAAAAAAAGAATTAATTGATAAGAAAACAAAAAGCAAGAACAACCATGATTTTATTACAAAAACACCCAGCAACTGTATTTAACACAAAAACAGTAACTGAGAGTCTCTTTTTATTTTTCTTTCAGTGTACATGCTCATTATTATTCCATTTAATTTACAGAAGGGCTATGTAAAATGAAATTAAAATTAGAGAGGAAACAAAAAGGAAGATTGAGGCATAGAATTTTCTTAGCAAGCAACGATCACAGGAGACAGCACAGATTGAACAGGGATTCAACAGGAGTGACACCTAGGGATAAAGGTAAACAGTAACTTTTTCCTTATCCATTAGATTCTCCATGGGGCTTTTTTGTTTGTTTTAGCAAAACAGTTTAGAGTATCACAGTATACAGGAAGACTAAATGGCAAAGAACGTCTCACACACACACACATTTATCCCTGCTACTGGTCCAGGATCCCAAACTTCAGTTAACATTCGTTTTCCTATCTCTCATTCATTGATAAACTATACAGGATTACACTGTACATGGAGTTAAAATTACAAAAATGTCATATTTACAAAAATCTGTACACACATAGTAAAACTCACAAAATTGTCATCTATGTATCACAAGTTGCGACACCAAAATATTAAAAATGGGATAAAATTATACATTTCTCTTGTCCATTTTTAAAAAGGGTTCATTATTTCAAAGACAGACCACCTATTTTCTCCCAAATAAGACTGGTAAGAGAACTAGAAACCTAAAGTATCCTCCTGGGATAAAATGTCGCGAGCAGCATCTCCCAACTAGAAAGAAGCCTCTATCCTGTCTGCTGGGGTGGGGTGTGCAGTTAGCATCTATGTACAGAAATGGTGAAACTACAACGAGGATGTCTTTGGCTAAACCTTTGGCATAAATTAAAATCATACATCAAAAGTTACAGAAAAGGTTATCTTGGTGATGGCGGAATTCCAGAATTTCTTTCTGAGATACCATTATATACAGCTTTTCTTTCTCTGAGGAAATAGAGGAGGAATAAAGGATTTTGGAACAGAGGCAAATGAGGCAACATTATTTCTTCGTTAAATTTTTCACTAGTATGAAAAATTGTATCAAATCTTTTCATTAAAACATAATTCAATCATAGAAATAACCCCTTCCAGAATTTTTTTTTTCTTTCGAAATTGCATATGAAAAAAATTAGTAAACCAGCCATGACAGAAAAAAATTGTATCAGCATATCAAGTACATATTAGTGCAGGAAGGTGGATAAATTTGATCCACTGTATAAATAAGCTTTATGCGCAGTGTACATTAAATAACCACCACACCCCACTCACACCCAGTACACAGATGCTCCTCAGTGAAGATAAACGTTTATCAAGTAATTAAAGTGTATGTAGTGCAAATGTTACAACCAAGTATTATGCACATGCTACTTGCTTGGTTTAAAGTTACACAAAGATGTGGTGCCTGAAATCATGGACATATATACATCCTTGTCACACTTGGTACAATGTCCTAAGCCACAGAAATACCGAGGTGTTTAGATCTATATATATATACACACACGTTTTCTTAAAATGTGACCACCACATCAATACAGTAACACAAACAGACTAAAATCAATACCTGCTTCCAGATGCTCCAAGGCTCAGAAAGTTTGTGCTTCTAATTCTTGCAGTCATTACGTGCCCCTCTTCCATTTCCCCCTTCTGCCAACTGAGCAGGAGGGACAGTCTCTTCACGTCTGTGCTGCATAGGATGAGGGCAACGGAGAGGAATAAATGACGGCACAGGCACCTAAGCTGCTTTCCTCCATCAACAGTTCCATGCCCCATGATGAAGGGTTGAGAGAAATTTCCTCTCCACACCACTCCAGGGTGGAAAGGCTTATTGAAAAAAAATAAAATCATAACGTGCTTTCCATATTATAAGTGGCAGCAAATCAAGGCACGCTGTACTAATTCTGTAGCATTGAGATTAGCTGACTTTGCAGGGGATGCTCACTGGGGAAGGTCCGACGTTCTCAACTGGCTGCTGGGCCGTGTGGGGCCATACAGAGTAACAGAAGCTATGTGATTATTCTGCATCACCTGCAAAAGCACAGCAGGGAAAAGGGAAATTAAACTACTGCTACAATAAACAGAAAATCAGAAGTATTAAAATGGTGAATACAGAAGTCATCTGCCTGATGAAAGAAATCCCAACGACAGCAACAAGCTCTTGGCTAGTTCCTTAAAACAGTCTCTTAGATTTCATGACACAACACCATCTGCTCCAACCAGCCATGTGAATTATCTCCTGCTAGCACGAGTTCCAGGTGACAAACTTGAAGTTTCAGCTTCAACATACAACAATATACAAACATACAGCAACAATACAACATACAACCTCAGAGAAGAGGTTGCAAAGTTTCCCTATCCTAAAATTATACCACTCCCAAGCATTGGCTTTTACTGCCATAGGAAGCCACTCATAGTAATAGCAAACTCATCTTCCCATGCTCAGACAAAAATAAAAGGTTTTTTCCTAACCTCAAAGATCATTCGCTGCAGTCCAAAGCAAAAGGTTGACCCAAATGGGTTAGTGTTGTTTGGAGATGATGACCTGAACAGAAAAGAGGGGAAAAAATTTTAAAATGGGAATCTGAGGATCAGGACCATCTTAAGGAGGAATAACTACTCAGCAACATAAAGTGAATTACAGCATCTTTATCATGGTTTTTATCCACAGAAAGTACCTCTACATTATGGAACACCATTGCTAGACTCCAAGTGAGCCAAAGGAAACTCTGGTTGATGCCACAGAGCCATTACTAACACTTGGGGATAAAGTAAAAAAAAAAAAAAAGCCACTAGTGACCTCTACAGGAAAACTCTCCTGCACTTAACTTGAACAGGAAGAACCCTAAAAAACCCCCAGATACACAGGAAGAGAGAAGCACCATGTTACTGCCCATTATTTTTGTGCAAGACCCTTCCCTTTGTGTCTCAATCTCTACCATATATATTTACTATATATAGTCTATTGCTTATATTAACTAGATACTGTCTGTTAATCAACTGGATTTAGCATGTTAAGAAGATTAACCTATATGATGCTGAAATAGAATAATCCAAGTTTTATTAAACAGCATTTTTCAGGATCTATGTACCACTTTCTTCCAGTTCTTTCTGGTATTTTTGGATTGTACATTGACAATTTCTGTTGACTGCAATGAATTTGAGATTACAGCCAAAAAAAAAAAACCCTAATGAATATTTACCTTTTGTCCTTTCTTGTAAACTGGTCAGTTTTTCAAACTGCATGTCTGAGCCATTTGAGATGTGCTCAGTAAAGCGCTCTCTGGTTGAACTACTCTCTACAACACAGATGGAAGAAATAGAAGGGCTCTATGTCATCACTATTTCACCTTAGCTTTACTTCATTCACATGGCTTCTGCTCTAATCATCTCACTGGCATAACACGAGTAAAGGGGAACAAAGGGCACAATGAGTAAGGGGGGAAAAAGAAAAAAAAAATCAAAATCATGTGAAAGTCTGATAAAAATACATTAATTTATCTGAAATTGCTGTGGTATTTGCACAGTACCTATCACTTACACTTGTCCTGAGATAAAAATCATGGTTTCACATCCTATAATGATAACTCTACAAATAAATAATGCCCATTTAACCCAGTATCCATCTCAATGCCTGCAGAAACACAGGAAATTTAAGGACTATTCTATCTTCAGTCAGCCTGAAGGAACTGTAGAATCATGTATGTTCATAAAAGGCAAGCTTCTTCAGACAGACTGCTGGTGTATATGACATCATGTGCATATATACTGTGCTATATCATGTCATGTTATTGAAATACTTTTATAAAAACTATAAAAACTCTACACTATTTATTACTCATAAAGAAAGATTTTCCTCACTCTGAGATCTTCTCTGGATTTGGCATTTCAAGGAATTTTGGAAATGCTTTCACTCAGCTTGTCAGTTTACTCCCTCTGAGAGCAGCTATCTCATCTTGCTAGTGGCCAAAAAACCCTGAAACTTTAACCAGCAAAGCAGTACAAAAGTAACCAGCACCACAAACATTCTTCATCATCCTCTGTTGTCAACCCAGTCCCTGCCAAGTAAAATAGAGAGATTTTTACCTGTGAAGTACCACTGGCTTCTCTACAGGGTGCCCCAGTAGATCCTGAATACTGTCCCACTGTAAATACAACAATTAATTCGTGTTAAAATGAGGCACAAAAACCCTCTTTTTTTATCTAGGAAGAGTGCCATGCACATTTGTTAGTGACAAACCTATTTGTCAAATAAACTTGAAGTATTCACATAAGTATTTTGTGACTGGAGCTATATTCAGTAATGGAACTATCCACTGCTAGGGCTAGTAAGTAATCTTAAGGTATATTCTTATTTTTGTCTAAAAACAGTTTGGAATTAGAATTATTAATATAAAAATTTCTGTTTGGCTTATAGATAAAGTGTTGCTGGAAAGTCTTGTGGCATTTTAGGGGCACTAAAGAGAGCAAAGCAGTTGTGGGAAGCTTCAACAAAATATCTTCTTGCATACATTTGCAGAGAGGAAAAATAGCCCCACTGCTACCTCTCCCATAAGTCTTTCCTTAATTTAAGCCACAATATTGGAGAAGAGGAAAGCTGCACTATTTAATGACTGGGAAGTGTCCAACAGTTTTCCTCACTTGAACCAGACTCCAAGAAGCTGCAGTTTCACACACAAGACTGAAGTAAGTCAAAGCACTGAAGGGAGTAAGTTAATTCAAGTCAAAAAGCATAGAATGGAATCTTCCAGATTGCTGACTCTAATTTTTCTTCCCAGTATGGGAGCCAAAATTCACCAAGGAAAGCCTTCATTTGGCACCCCAGGAACCAAGAGAGCAGCGGTGACCCTGGCTGAATGCTGACTGCAGAGATACTGATGAACAGTTTTTGGAAAGTTTTACAACTTAATGCAGCTGTCAAATTTGCAGCAGCACCTGCCCAGCTGGGAAGTTCATTTAGGTGGAAAGGCTGTGGAGTCTTCAAGGAGTCTGCTGTCACCAGGAGATGTCACACTGGCAGTGACATTTTTAAAGGCTGCTGCCTAAGAAACATCCCATTACTGGTGCCCTTCAAAAGAAAGTGGAAGGGCACTGGACTCTCCTGTTCAATACTCCATGACTTCAAGAGCTATGCTTAGTACAGTAGCTCTGTGAGAATTTTGCTTAGGAACATGTCTCCAGCTAACATTACTGCTGTTTTCCCCTATCATTTATTTCACTATTTCTACCTGCAGCTGTGTTAAAGCTATGCCATAATGTAGTAATTTAGTTTACTTGAAGAGTGTTATTACAAATGAACTCAATCATTTAACATACCAAAATATTTAAAACACAAGACACACTAACTTTTGGCCTTCCACTATTCCACTTTAGAACAGCATGATACCACTGCTGTAATTTCCTTGAAGTGTGTTGTAAAGTTGGCATGAATCATTTACATGGTTTAAGAAAATCAGAAGAACACTCAGTTCTGCACAGGCTTACCTTGCTGTATGTTGTACACGTTTCTGTCTGTGAATCAGCACTATCTATGAAACAAAACCAGAAAAGCTTTTAGAGCTTAAGCTTGAACAGCCCCCTACATAATCTTTTATTCTGGCATGTTAATTCAGATAGCAGGAGACACAGGAGCATTAGATCAGGTCTTACACAAATTTACCAGCATTCACTAGCAATCAGAATTGTCAGTATCACTGACTAAATGCCAGTTAAGGTCATAAAGCAAACCTCCCTATTTACAGCAAGTCCCAACTTTAAGATTATAAAAGCTTAAGATTTAATCTCAGATGGAAGAACACCTCTATAGAAGAAACCCCATCTCTTTGCACTAAGCTACCAGGCCTAGCACAGCCACTCCAGGAGGTAACCAATTAATGATGTGCCACTCATTAATTCCAAATCACTCCACTGCACTTGGAAGGAAAGCTGGCTAAAAGTGACATCTGGAGACTCAGGAGCTGGCAGGCCTGAGATCAGTGAAAACATCACTCTTCCACAATAAAGATGGCAGAGAGCTTGGGAATCACAGCCTACTTATTAAAAAATAAAAGGACAGCATTGCATTTACAATTACAGCCTTTAAACAGAAACTGTTTGCTGGTGGTTTAAAGTGCTGTCATACATATCTTACACACATATATTTAGGTATTCCTAAATACTGAAAGCTTGTTCCCAAAACAGTGGGAATGGACCTAGACATTAAAATGTCAAACAGAGCTTTCAGTCAAGCTAAAGACCATTTGCTCCTCTGTATTTTTCCCTCTCTAAGTATGCTCTCTTTGTGCTGAGAGTTCAGTGTCTGTGAAACTTGAACTCTGGCTCTTAATTTATCATCCGAACTTGAAGCACAAAAGGGAACTAATAAAACTGCATCAGACACTGCCACCAGAGGGAAGAACATGGGCTCTTCAAAACTGTTGTAACATCTGTTCACAACTTGTTGCATGTCCTGGACATAAGCTAGAGGCCAGAAAAGCTGGTTAGAAATGCCAAATAGAGAGACACATTAGGAATAAATTCATAATGGTACTTGAGGTAAATAAAATTAATCACAAATTAATGCTTTGAAGTACAATAACCTAAGGGAAATAATTTTAGAAGTGAGGATTTTCATGTTCATTCTCTTGGCTGAAGTACAAATCAACTTTCATGTAAGCCTGTATACACAAACATTGTTTTTCCAGGTTTTTAATCCTCCATATGCTCAAACTGCTGTGACAGCCACAGGAGTATTGCACTTCACACAGCAAGCAAAGTGCTTGCAGTAAATACCAATCAGAATGAGGAAAACATCCCTGGCCAAAACCTAGGCAGCATCTGGCATTCCCTGGATAATCCAAATACCTTCCCAGCACACATTTTTTCTTATGTTGAAGAAGTGTACTTTGATCACTGTGATCTTCAGCCAGGGCTCCTCTACTTTGCTGAGATTAGTTACTGCACAGAGCTGGGAATATCTTAGTACCTTGCCAAATCAGCACTACTGATTATAGAATTATTTTTTTATAGATTTATTTTCAGGTGAACACAGACATTTTGTCTGTAGCACATAGAGCCAACATGTCTGGATGTTTACTTTCATTCCCAGATAAACCAGATTATATTAAATACCAGTGGACTGGACAGATGAGCTCAGACTAACACTGCCTTACAGATTCTGAGCCTCCAGGTACAAGGTAATTGATTTTAGCAGAGCAGCAGTATTACAGGATATTGTGATGTTGCAGCTGAATATTTGCATGATCCAAGTAAGTGAAGAGGTAGTGTAAGTAAAATCAGAGAACTGCTACCTTGCCCTGAAGTGTCTTTTCCACTTAAATATAAACCTAATCCCAAAACTTCCTCTCTGTCTCAATGACTGTCACTGTTAGCATCCTCTGACAATGAAGGACAGTTACAGAGTGATCCCAGCTCCCCTTGGAGCCCTCTGTGCCCCCTGCAGCAGGACAGCAGGGAAATGCTCACCTCTCTTAATGACGAGTGGAATCTTGAACTCACAGCGATGGTAACTAGAAAGTGAAAATTGTAAAAGCTATTAGAGAACAGAGAAGCCAAGACACTGCACAGCCACACACTTACAGCTCTTAATAATCCCTTTCATGAAAAGTCATATCAATAATAAAATGAAAGTGATGATCTATGATAGCACATTATGTTCTCAGTTAGATTTTCTACATCAAAAAAGGCAGCAGCCTGGGAATGTCCTAATGCAATTCTTTAGAGGACACAAGAAGCCCTTTAGCATCAATTACTCTATTGTTACATTATTGTTACTCTATTGTTGCACAGAGTGGATGGAGAAATACTTAGCTATGAAACAGCACTACAGATTTCTCTGTCACTAACTGCTTTACTCAGACATCCAGTCACTAACTCATACTCCTCCTCTAAAGAGTTTACACTTAGAAAGTACTGAAAATATGTTCAGAAAATGAGATTTTTTTAATTACTAATTGAAATCACGTTAGGAAGAAAACAGCAATGTAGCTACCAGAAAATGGGCACTCTGGCTAATACAAAGTTTGCCTCTATCAAGAGTTTGCACATCACACCTGGACCAAGACCTACCTTATCTCATTCACTGCTTTAAGACATACTTGCCAGTATATATAAAGGCATTTAATAGTAAAAAGAAAACACAACTAAAAAATGTTACTAATGATGTCTGCAACCTCCACAGGCTCCTAGATACATCAAAGAGACTTAGAAAATATATTGTAATTCTATAAAGAGAATGTAAGATTTTCCTTTTCAGTTGTTTTAATGTACTCTTTAATAGATGAGTACTGTACACTCACATGTTAAAGTTGTAATGACCAGGATAATTTGTATGCAGGACAAATTTCTTCACCTTGTGAGTGTTTGCATCAAAGAGAATATCCTGTTGAAGACAAAAAACAAGATGAAGCAATTTGGGTAGGAAGGGGCATTCCCATAACTAACCTGAGGTTACTTAAAATAGCCCCTGTATAGAGCAACATACATTTATCTCACTGAAACTGAATCAAATTATGAAAACTAGTATTTGAAAATAAGACTATTTGTAAATTCAAATAACACATTTCCTCCAGCACTCAATTACAACTGCAGCTTCATTTGCTAATGTTAGCAAGTTTTCTAAGGAGGTCTTGTTTTTCTGCATATTATTTACAGTAATGTAAACTAAAGCAAAACAGCTGCAAGAAGAAAAATTAAGACTCAACTACACCCCACAGATCAGCAAGCTTTCACAAGTGATGCTATGGCACACTTGCCTCAGCTCTGTGGGACAGGGGCATGGATCTCAGGAACAAGAACTAGTAACTTATGCATCAGCTACTACAGAAAAGGAGAAAACCTAAGAAGCTGACAGAGTACAAAGAGCCCTCCATCCAATGGTGGAGATAAAATGCTGCTGATTAAATCTGTAAGTGTTAAAGGAAAGTCAAGTGAAGCTTTTCATATCCAGAGATTCCTAAGGCAGCAATGAAGAGTTTTGCAGCCTCATTTCCCACAGCCTTTAGCCTCCTGAAAGGATTGCTGTGTAACTAAATCAGAAGTTTACATGAATTGTTCAGGGAAGCTTTCCACTCACCACTCCAAGTGTGAAATAATTGAAGAAGTAGTCATTGCACTTTGATGGGACCTGCTTATGGGGCGAGGGCGAATGGATTTTCATCTGCAAGAAATACACTTTTCAGATGCATGCAATAATGCTTAAAGATGAATGCCTTTAATAACAACTCTACATTCAAACAAATTGCTATAATCTCATTTGAAACCTTTGTTCAACTAAAGAAGACACTGTGCTTCATGACAGGACCATCACCTGCTTGCAGCAGGCACAGTAACACATCAGCTTTTTCAGTTATCATAATTAAAGGTTTACTTACATTATTAAAAGGTCATAATTAAAACATAATTAAAAGGTTTACTTAGATTATGCTGTGTAAAAACATTAGGAAAAGATCAAAGTGTATACTGAGGTTATTTTACATACACTATAAGTGAAAAAAAATAGGCAGCACACACTTACTAAGGCACATTTGGGATACAAAAGCACTCCCATTTGTAACTATTCTTAATCCAGTTAACATTACATTTATTTTAAAAATCAAATTGTGTAAACAGATTTGCATCAATTTAGATTTTGAAAAAGCTTCTTAAAGCCTATTACATAATGGTTCAGCCTGGTCTATCATGTCAAGTAATATGCTGAGCACTTGTAATTTGTGCTACATGGAAGTTCAACTTCACTGACCTTGCCAAACACAAGCACCATGATGAGACTGAGATACCAATGAACAAAGTCTGTGCCTGAATGAATTCCCTCACCTTGTCTTCAGACTTGTAGAAGACTTTGTGTGGAGAGCCCAAGGTGCTGAGCACATCCTGGCAGGAATCACCAAAGTACACGCAGCGCTCGAATACCCGCATCTTGGCATCGGCTAAAACACCTGGGCCACAGCCTGAGCAACAGAAAACAGCTCTACATCCATCCTTCCTGATCACAGATACATCACTAAATCAGCACCAAAAGGTTAGCATCATTCCTCTATTTATCACAAACCAAACAGCTGCATTCCTCAGACAACAGTGCCAAACAAATTTTAACCATTTACTTTGCAGCAGTGTAAATATTTCTTATCAGCGCAGTGCATGTGCTGATTGTTGCATGGTTCCCCATTTCCACCTCCAATTTCAGCCATACTACCTTCACTCCCTTGCCATTCACATGGACATGACTTGGTTTCCCAGCCCATCTCAATCTGATCAGCTGGCTATTAGCAGTAAATAGCAGGAATTATTTCTATCCCTAGAATATTCTACTTCATCAGCTAGAGATTTACCTCCAGCTAAAATCATCAAGCACATGAAGTGAAATCCCTCATCCACATTAACTGTATCACAAATCACACATTCTTTATTCAAGATTCCCATAACTTACTAAATCAATAGCAAGTATATCCCTGTGCAAACAACATTAAAGCAGATCTTATTGAATAGCCATTACACAGATAAATTGCTGACAAATGTTACCAGATGTGAGGAAATGGAAAGATGTTGCAGTTTGTGAGCCCACTTGCTTTCAGGAATGCAGCATCTTACATTTACAAGAATGCAAGGACACATATGCAGCAGTTACTGCAAAGCACAGGATGTGCTCTAAATACACACTTGGCTTTCCTCACTATGCATTATTTATGTAGCTAGTTACCCACTAAAATAAATCAGAAAAATCCAGTTCAGTCATCCTTGATTTCTTAAGCAACAGTAACTTCAAATAATACATAGGCAGAGAAACTTGAGCTAGAACAGGTGTGTAATATATTTTACAAGAGTTTCTACGAACTTTGCAAGATAAGAACAGAACGTGTCCAGATTGCCCCTGTGCAAGTTTGTCTGAACATCAGTGATATTTTAATAATTATTTTACTCATTAACAATATTTCCTTTAAACTGCATGCATATACATTTTTAACAAAACTTGACACTATACATGTCCAATTTCACAAAATCATTTATGTAATTATGATGCTATAGCTAACTCCTTCCCCAGTACATGAGGCAATATGTTCTCTACACTAGACAGCTCTACTTTATCTTCCTCTGTAATAAGAGAAGCAAAGTAGGTTGAAAATATCTGCTCCTTTTTTATTCTTCATCTATAATTTTCTTTTTTCAACTTTTGCATATTGTGGGTGTATTCCAAATGTTTCCTCAATATACACAGAGCTAGCAATCAGGACAGGTGAAAAGCTGAGCCTCCTAATGAAAATTGTAAAAAATTATTTTTCTTAAAAACACTGTCAAGTCTCAAGTTATGGTAACTGAACAAGACTCCTTTGCAGCTGTTACACCTTGCCCTAATTTCTAAGCACCCTCCCATCTCTGAAAGCACATAAAAAATGAGAGACTCATCAGCCTCTCTTCACTTTCACCACTGTCTCCTACAGTAAATGAAAACAGAACTGAATGGGAATTGCAGTTTAATGCTGCAGCATTAATGTAGTCACTTGCTAGCACTTTAAAAAGCCTTCCAGATTTAAGCACAAGAATAGCAACACCATACAGCTCCCTGGAACGTCACAAAAAGCACACGTACACAAGCTTTCTTGGTTTGTCATGGGTTTTTTTAGTGATGTACTGAGAACAGTGATCTGTTTTCTTCTACATACATCTGGAGACAAATTCCATTTCTGCAAACATATTCTAAGAACTCAGAACATGTGAGGGCTCCAGTTCCCAGTAATTTCTCCAGAGTCAGGAAAAAGCAGCATTGAGCAGGTTCATCTTCAAACAGATTTAACTGGGTTTTGTTCCAATAATTCAAAGTAAGGTAGATAGAACACTTTGAAATCCCTTACTAAATCACTACAAATAACCTGTGCTTAATTTACACAGGTTTATGCCCTTATTTCCCTGAAGGGAACAAGCAGTGCAATGTTCTGAGTTTCTCCAGTACCTGCAGTGAGGAGGCGAAGCCGTAAACCTGAGGGTCCAGTTCCATCTCGCAGAACATCCACGTTCTCAGCATACACATTCCCAAGGAAACAGCTGAGAGGCATCAAGGGGGCCCTGAAACCAATCAAACAAAACGTGCACAGGATTTGCTTCACCTTCAAATTTTCCTCTAACAAGCTGGTACCAGTTCACTGGAACAGAGCACATTAATTTTGACAAAGCTGCATGTAACCGAGACTGAAGATTAAAAGTTTTATTAAACAGAAGGATCAGAAAGCATGGGGGAAAATAAGAGGAACAAGTCAGCACTCAAATGCAAGATCTTTACCATTCATGAAAAAAACCAGCAAGTTTCAAAGACTCCAGGAATTAAGAAATTACAGAAACTGTACCTAGCCTTTGGATATCGCCTATGAGGAAATATCAGCTCAGATTACTCCCAGGGAAAATGAAATTGTGGAGTGTTTAGAGCTAACTATCACCCAAATGCAGCAAAAGAGCTTTCTCTGTGATGCTCCCACTGCTCTTGGGAAGGTACTGCATAGCCCAAAACATGAAATCAGTTTGTGCAGGTACACCCAAGGCAACTGTGCTTCTTTACTGGGGAAGTTCTCAATTTAATTCAACACCAACATTATTTTAGAAAATAATCACAGTGCCAAGTGAGATATTTTTAATTGAAAGGCATATTTTCTGTGTATCAACTTGTATGTGCTCCCTAAAATTTCCTGTTCTTATGTTCCTCCTCTGGGTGAATGACAAGCTAAAAGTTGGGCTTTCAGCTCTCTCTCACACACACCACAGAGCCCCATGCAACAATCAGCGCTTTCACTAAAGCTCACCATGTCACAGATGGGCACAGACAACAGCACTTTTCTCAAGTGCACTTGTTTCTAATTAAGAGACAATGTCTGCATAAACTAAGCTCCCTCCCTTCTGAGCAGTGTTTATCTCCTGGCCTTAAAACTCAACTGTCTCTCTGAGAAAAATACCCTCTTATCACTTGGGGTATTTCTAAGATTATTTCTAAGATCATTCTCGGAATCCTAGAATGATTTGGGTTGGAAAGGACCTTAAAGAACATCAAATTCTAGCCCTCTGCCATGGACAGAGACTGCTTCCACTAGGCCAGGTTGCTCAAAGCCCCACCCAGCCTGGCCTTTAAGATAATAAGCTCAGTCAGGTATCTGCAAATACATAGAACATATGACAGATTATGCATATGGCATAGTTTATTAATTTTGTTTAGCAAGAGAATTTAAGACTCTTAATAGGGCCCTGCCATGACATACATATTCTCAATACCCTACAAGCTTACAGACTGCCTACACAGAGTCTGATTTGCTTAAGAAGAGGTCATCAGCACAAACAAAATCTGGAGGAAGAATAGCCTTAACATGGTGTTACTAAATTCACAATGTTCCCTACATTAATTCATTTTCAGGTCAATTGAACTTGCCTACTACAGCTGAACCAAGCTCATATTACAGGAACATAAATCAAACCAATGTTTCATTATAAGGGCTGAGGACAACACGTACAGAAATCTAAATTATCTAAAGGCATTCTGAAGATCCAAAGTGAACTAAAAAAATATACTATTGTATATAGCAATGGCAAAGCACTAAATAAATGAGGGAAAGAGCAGGAGCAGCTGCACATACTTGGTGTCCTGCAGGCTGTTTCCATTGTAGATGTACATGCGTTTCACAGTCGCGCCGTGCGGGATTTGCAGAGAGGCCAGACCATGGGCAAAGTTAGGCTGGAGAAACACAAAATCACCCTTGTTATACACCACAGCAGACACTTCAGAAGACACTTTCAGACACTTCAGGTCAGAAATTGCTTTAGAGATGCTGGATATGCTTACCAATTCAAGCAAGTCTCCAGCAAAAGACAAGGGGGCAAAATAACAGAAAACCCAAGCTTCTAGGTGGTGTTTCTATTCCACCACTCCTGGATTCCTGAGCTGGGGTGAAACACTCAGCATGTTCATTCATCAAAAGATGCCACTAGTCTGACAATTAGTCACTGTGTGAACTGAGAATTCAAGTCTCTCCTTGGTTTCATCATGGGCAGCTAGCAATTTTCAAGTATTTGTCCTGATACACTGTTGTATTTAAGAAATCATCTGTCTTAAAGGAAAACTTCCCTTTTTTGTCTCCCACTGCATTAATTTCTGCCTTTTAACATTTTTGCTGCTTCCCAATATGCTTTATCTGATGAACAGAAACTTGTTCATTAAATAGATTTTCCACTCTCCTTATCACCACATTCTTACACATACTGTTTTGACAGGGATTTGAGTGCTCTCATCAAATAGAAAGCATGTTAAGGAAGTCAGATTGACTCGTACTGCACTAGAAGAAGGAATTTCTTTCAATTCTGAATGTGACAGGACATTCAAGACCAGTAACATACTTTGTTGTCACCAGACAGAGAAAAAACCTATCTTTGTCACAAGCAGTCAACAAAAACAAGATGCACAATATGCAAACTATTACCTGGTCTACTTTAGCAGGCATCACGTAAGGTAAACACACAAAAAAAGGAAATGTTTTTAGGAAAAACATTAACCTAGAACAATAACTTTCAATGCTGTAGATATTAAGAAAGGAACCTCCATTACTTAGCAAATCTAGAGATGTCCCAATTTCAATTCTCATCCTGAATTTGCCCAGAACATTAATACCTTTTGCTTCTTAAAGAACATGAAATTACAGATCATTGAAGCGAGCAAAGGTTTTCATGTTCTCCTCACCTGCAGCTTGCTCCAGCTGTACAATAAACTCCAGAGTTTTCTTCATAGTTTTTCCATTTCCATAAGCAGAAGATTATACTGCTTTGCTAAGCAGTTTAGCATTTCTATATGATCTTCCCTGAACTTGACAGATTCAAATTTGACTTCACTCTGCAATCTTTTCTAATGTTCCTCTCTAAAAACTTTCACAAAGACTTGTCTCCCCTGTGGACTGTTTCATACTGCTATGTTTTCAAAACAACCCTACTTTTACCTGTTCCTGGGGAGACTTTGGCATTACACTCTTGGCAAAGAACATTTTACTAACCTCACTAGAGTGACTGAATGAGACACTTGGAGAATGCAAAATTACTTTCTCCACTGTTCCATCAGTTTGATTTTAACATCTTAGGTAGTCTTGCAAGGAGCAGGAAGTTGGTCTCAATGATGCCCCTACAGGTTCCTTCCAACTTGAGATATTTTATGATCTTTTCAAATCTTTGGTGAAACAATTTACTTCCTCAGTAGTTTGTCTATTTCGTTCACCAATGCCCTGGGAACTCTTGCATGAAAAGAAGCTACTCTTTGTTGGGGCATTCTTTTTGTTTGCCTTATTAGGCTTCTATTCACCTTCCAATCTGAAACCCAACTGACCTTCACTGCTGCTGAGCAATAACTCCCCCTGGTTACCCCCTGTGACATGTCAACCACAGCCACTAAAGCACTAAGCTGTGACAAAGAGCATGTGTCATTATGTGGGTTGATTTCTTCTTTGTTTTGGCTCTTTATATGCTCCTTTATTTTAATGCTTTTTAACTGGTCAATGCAGATTATACAACTGAGAGCATTTCCATCTTCACACAAACCAAGTTACACATACATTTTCATTAGTACAGAAGGAAACCACAGAGGACCTGATCTTGTTTCCACTTTAGACGGGAATTTCCAAAGATTTCAGAGAATGCAGTAATGCATTTAATTATTCAGTAACTCATCCAAACATTTGGTGAATATGCAAACAGGCATTACAAATAAAACTCATTCATTTGGCTTGCTAGAAGCACTCATACTGAAGGACACTTAAAGAAGAAAATGTATTTTATGAAGTCTATCCTACTTTAGTTGCATAATCACTTCAACGAGATTCAAAAATATCTGATAAAAGAACAGCCTCCCAGTAGATTGCTTAATATTTATGTATTTGCATAGACAGCACTCATATTTTTAGACAACTCCTTTTACCAACAGAATTGCTAGTCCCTGTTCAAGATGCAAGCAAAACCCCTAATCACATGCCTTTTGTCAACAGGAAGCAAATTTTTAACTTTGAGATGGTTACACAGCATTAATAAGAACACAACAGAGGAGTTCAATTCCTTCCAAATTACTGGTTTCTTTTGTTTGCAAAAGACAGCAAGACACAATGTAGGTGATACTCTGCAAGTACCATGGAGGCAAAACCACCATCCATTAACTAGGAATGATTGCTGACCTCGTATTTCGGGGTTTCAGTCCAGGAGTCCAACTGAAAAGAAAACGACAGTCCTCTGAAATTGAGGTGAAAGAGTTGCTCAGCTGAGTTATACACTAGAAGGGAAAAGAAAGTAAAACCAGAGTTACCAAAACAATCTAAAACTTCTCCAGTTCATATCTAACAGCACCTTCATCACCTCAATGAATCTCAGAATACAGGAGGAACACAATTACACTGGACAGTAACAGTTTGCTTTTAATTTCATGCAGTAAAAATACAGCAGTAAGAGAAACCATGGATTCATTGCAGTTGCTTCTGCAAGCCTGCAGGCACTAACCTATCCCTAACAATACAATTATACAACATGACACAATCAATTATACCTTAATATCTCTAAAGTAGTTTAAATAGCCACTACTGGTACAAAACAATTCTGTTCATTGTTATGTAAAACATTGGACAGTGTTAACCAGAAAGGCTTTGAGAGAGATGTGCACAAACACTGATAACTTCCTCTTTCACACATGGGGAGTTCAAAGGAGATCTGACCCTATGACCTGCATTTCCACCTCTGCTCCCAGGAGGAGCTCCCATGCCCCAGTCAGCTCCTGCATTCCGGGGTAACACTGACACAGCCCAAGGAGGAAATGCTTCAGACACACAGGTCCTAGGCCATTTACAATGATAATTAAAAATAGCATCACCAGAAACAGCAGCCAACCAGTCAGCTCCCACAAAGAGCACTAATAAATTAGAGCACGCACAGACTTCCAGCTGTCACCACATCACGAGATGTCCTGATTCACTGCAATCCATTGCACAACATCAACTATGAAAACAATAAATGTCGTCCCAGCACTTACTCTAACAAGACACGCTGTTTTCTGAGACTGTGGAAAGATTAAAAAACAATCCCAGAAGACTGAGAGCTTGGGAACTGTTTTAGGATTGATTTTATAAACTCCAACCTGTGCCCAGTAGCCACTAGGGGAACAGAGTGTTCTAGCAACACACAGGCTCTGAGAGCTTGAAAACACCAGAGGCTTAAAACAATAAAGAAACCCTCTAAAAGAGAAGCTGCTCTCTTCCACTTTACCAAAGGAATACCAAAGGCTCAAAATTCCCTTTTTTCTTACAATGTTATATTTAAAATGACATAGCATAGAGACAAAACGCATATAAAGAAATATTTTATTCCATCCCTCCCACAATGTCTTTCAAACGTTCAACTTAAAAGACACATCACAGGGTATCTGGACAATGCCAGGCCACCCAGGATAGAAAAATAATAGTTGAGCAATAAGCATTAAACTTTTCAAAAGTTATCATTTGCCTTTTCTACAGAATGTGCTGGCTAAGAGTCTTTTCCACGCTTGTCACTGAAAGGAAAACGTGTGGAGAGAGGGAAATGTTTTGATCGGCAGGAAAATTATACAAATCTCTCTCATGTGATAAATTATGATACATCTTTTCCAAAGCCCACAGCCAGCTGGAGAACTATTTTTCCCCTAGTCATGCCAAGTGTGATATCTGATTATACAAATTGCATCAGTTCCCATCCCCTGCAATGTTTGTTGATGCTTGGGTTTAAAGGGCAAGGAATTTTTTTATTTTTGGGAAGTTCTCTCATGTCTCCCTCAAAACCATAGATCACAACCACATGACTGAACAAGGTAAGGATTTTTTGTACTATTATTTAAATTTCTTTTTATTCACACAGGTACCCTGCTAATTCCATTCAAAATTGCTGACAGAAGCAAAAAGACTGCTTCTTTTCTATTGCACTCTGGGTGGGGGATAGGGAGGAGGTTTTGCCTTCCAGGAAGGCAGCAGAGTGTGACCAGCTGGGAAATATTTCTGTAGAGCTGACAGGACAAAACCACCAACAGCAGCAAGGCTGCAAAATGGACACAGCTTTACTAAAAGCAGAGGCAGATCCAGAAGTCAATTCTTTCTGGTATCAATCACAAGACTTTTCTGGCACCTTAGGGGAAGGTGAAGTCAGAGTTAGAGAGCCAGAACACAGCAAACCCTTCCACCCAAAGGCCTTTGGTAGGTAGGAAGGACTTGTTCTTCTACCTTATGACTTGAGCCCAAGCCCACAGCCCTGTCCTTGCTGTATGGCACTTTGGCACAAAGCCACATCCATGAGCACTCAGGACAGGATGTGGTTTCAATAGAGCCACTGGCAAAAGCAAGCCCTTCCCAGCAGGAGGTCAGGTCAGAGAATCATGGAAATGTGGGATAAAAATCTTGGCTTTGATGAAGCTGTTGACCTCCAAAGTGGTTGTATTTCAATAAGCCCCATGACAAAGGTACTGCAATGTTTCAAACTACCATTAGCCAAAAAGTAATGAAGCTGATTGATTTTTCTGATGACTCTTCTTTTTTAAAACCACTGATCTGGCAAAACCAAAAATGCTCACTGAAGGTTGGTTTCAACACAAAACTGTTGCTAACCTTTTGAAATTTATTTTGAAACTAGCATTGTATCCTGTTACAGGAAAGTTCTGCTGCAACCACCTTGGTTTTAAGTGAAAGACAACATTTTGAGTGAAATTCTAGTGGAGGTTTGTTAACAGAGATAAAAAACAAAATAAGTTTGAAGTGCTTGCATTGGGGGTTTGGAGGAGCATTAGCACAGAGGAGTAAAGGGATGGTTATATTCCTTTCACTCATGAAACCTAGTATTTAGTGCTTTGGTCACATTAAGAGGAAGATTTCACCTCCCATCCCAGCTCCAATTTTTGTGAGACATGAAAACACCATCACCATCCTTCCCCCATGCTGAAAACCATTCTCTTTCTTCACCCTTTGTGTTTCAGACAAGCCAAAGGAAAAAGAGAGTTATCAAAAACTTGAGTTGCATAATCCAGTTCAAACTGTTTGTGACAGGCAGCTTAATACAGAGCATTTACTTCTGCTAAGTAGGCTGTTAATGGAAGAAGTATTTTTCCAATGAGGAAATTTGAACAAGCAAAAGCACTAGTGAAATGGTAATAGAGGCCAGCATTTTAATAAATACATTTTCTTATCTACATGTCACTAGATGAAAAGATGTTATGAAAAGCTATCACCAGATGAAGCAAGCATGCAAGTCTTCTTAATTGAGTATGACAGATGAACAAGATCTGCAAATTCAGCACAAGGACACGTGGTGCCAAACTATGTTTTTAAGTGCTTGCACACAATTTTATGCAGTAATAAAATATGCTATCACTATCACAGGCAAAGCTTATGGCTAGATATGTGTTTTCACAGTTCATAATACCACAATTTTGGAAGCTCCACTTCCACATATTTGCAAATAAACCATAATCACAGAACAAATAAAAATTATAACCCACCAAGGATATGGAACCACTTTTACCCTTCTTTATTTCTACAGTTTCTTGTACATATCATTTTCATAATAAATCCAACCATAGATTTCAGAGCTTCCATCTAAGAGGAACTGTTAATGTCAGGACCAAAATTTATAAAGCTTAATTTTGGTCCTTGGAGTATTACAGCTAGAAATGTTCCAAGCTTCATTTATCTCAATCTGATATTCATCTACTACTGCAGGCTTTTATGCAATAATACTGCTCTACCCACATGACCCTCCCCAGTTAATAAATCCTGTTCTGTAATGTGCAAGAGATTGTCTGCAGAGAGAGACAAAGGCTGGATATGCAATCACCATCCATCACAAAGAACATTTGCCTGTTTGGGATCAGCCTGACTACTGCAAATGGACTGGCTTCAGCTAAAAATAGAAAATGAGGCTCTGAAAATGGTATCTTGACTATATGGAGGTAAAGTTCTTCCTTGTTGTGCCAGTTTGTGGCTCCATTTCTTGAAAGTTCACAGGCAATTTAATTATGAAGTTCAAAAGCTTCTCTACCACCTTATTTTCATGGCCTAGGAACCCCCTGAAATCCACTCCTCGTTTTCATACATAAACCAGGAGCTTCCAGATCTGGAAGCTGCAGAGAGGGGGAACAGCCAAGGGGCTATGCAAGAGTCAGAGTGGGCTCAGCCAGGTGAAACAAACTTGTTCTGGTTCTGCTCATGCTGCACATTCAGTGGCCCAGCAGAGGAGGGGGCTCAGGAGGTGTGAGCCACTCACACACAGCTCATGTTCTCATGTTTGCTGCTGCCCAGCAGGGAGTAACACTCACAGAGCATGGAGACTGAGCAACAGCCCTGGCTGCCCCTGCTCAGAGAGCTCAAGGCTCTGTGCTCATGGCACACACAATCAATCCCTAAGGATTGCTGGAGAGCTGACTGTGCACAGGGATGTGTAACAACAACCAACATCACCATTTTCTGGTACTGGCACTTCAAAACATCTGAATACATCTGAATGACATCTGAATACAAACTCTGTGCCAGTGACTCTGCCTCACCATTTCCCTTTTAAAAAGGAGCCACAAGTGAACTGACAATACAATTTAAATTATTTTCCAGCTGTAAGGATATGACCACTCTGGAACACAGCTCCAGATCATATGACAACAGAACTGCCTACACATTGCTCTAAGCAGACATACTGGAAAGGATTCCTAGAAAGAAGTCTGTCAGGCTAGGTGTGCTTCTCAGAAAGTTTTTGGCTTACCTCCTGGATGTGTTGCTCCAAATGACTGATCAATTTGTTCTATGGTTGGAGCAATTGCCTGAGAGTTAAAATGGACACCACTGAAAAAGAAAACAGAATTAATCTGCCTAAAGGAAGCCAAACAGATGCTACAAATATTTACTAATGGCAATACCACATTTAAATTGTAAGAAGTCTCCAAGACTGAAGAGTAAACTGGTTATTTAACTGAGTTCCATGTTCAAGAAAGAATGATTATGCACACTCCCTCATGACAGCTATTTTTGATTTTTAAAATGAATAATTGAAAAAATGAATTCAGGACTTTAAAAAAGTGAGTAAAACCAGCCACTCTAACCAAGAGGAAATCATGGGAGGTCTTCAACCACTTACCAATATTTTAACTTCACCTTAGTCAAGTCATAAACTTCAATCACCTGAAACACAGGAAACAGAAACATTGCTACAGTTCAGATACTTGCAAATCATTACAGAGATAAATCCTTGTCAAAGGGCAAGACTAGCTAGTGCTGCTTGCTCTCCTTCTTACAGAACTCAGCCATGATAAACCACAGTGTCAGAGATCAAACTCAAAAACTGACCAACAACTGCACATCTGAAATAAGGCTTGAACACCCCTGGGGTCAGGAGAGAACCCCCATATCCCATGCACATCAGCACTGCCTGCAGGTCACTGACACATCAGGATCTTGATTTCTACAAAGTTTACTCAAACAAATTGAAAGGAAAGCAACACCAAGGATTAGCTAATTAGGGAATCCTCTGATGAATGTCAGTGGGCCATTCCCTGGGCTGCTCCTATGCCCCTGAAGAACGCCTGTGAGGGCACAAAGGCCTTACACTGACTGCACTGCTGGAACTCTCCAGCTCTTCTAAAGTAAAAGATGAACACAGCAAGGCTTAGCAATAATATCCCATTTCAATTATACTTTAGATATCTTGCAGCCTCACCAAGCATTACAGAAGACAATCAGAAGAACAGTCCATGAGGAATCAGGGCAAGCAGTAATATCCTGTTCTGATATTCAGAAAACGCTTTAAACCTCACTGAATATTTCAAGGAGATTTCCTCTCTGTAGAAAATATAAGATATGGATCCTTTGCTCTGAATAATTGCTGCAAACATGTATCTGAGACTGATGTCATATGATTTTTATGACTGCCACTGGATTTTGAGGCTATACTGGGCTTTAAGCAGATGATTTTTGGCAAGTAGCCATGGAAAAACACAAGCTTCTTCCACCTTGCATATGTGTTCCTATGTCAGCAGGAAAAGAAAACACACAGCTCATAACCACCATAAAGCAAAGGTAAAACATGTTTTTTTGTTTTTTGTTTTGTATAATCCTCCAACAAATAACTGGCAGATTCTGGCAGGACACACTCTTCAGCAAGAGAATAAAGCAGAATTTCCCAGGGAGCTTGCTACCAAGTGTGGCTTTAAAGCCTAAAAATATCACCAGCTGAGAAGGAAGTCTTGGTTTTGGGAGATGCCCAGCAAATAACCCTAAATAAAACAACTTGCCATGTTTAAACCACTACCTCTATATATATTTAGAAAAAAAAATAAATCAACATTTAATGGCATTTCAAAATATAAGCAACAAGTAGGGCACAAAGCAAGTAGCAAATTAACATTTTGGCAGAACCAACAAGACAACAAACATCCTTCTTCATAATAAAATACACTTGGAATTATGCTCCTTGGAAAAACCTAGTTATCTAGTATTTTAATTCAAGTGCAGTTGACATGTCCAGATTTCCTTTACTGTTAAAGCCTATTAAAAAACAAAGGCTACTTTTATGAAAAGCTAGGACTGATTTTACTGGTTTTTTTAGTGCTCTTGCACATCTTTTCCCTCCACAAAATTTTTTCTGAAAATAGAGAGAACCAGCCCCACCCCAGATCTTGTTTTGCAGCCACTGCTGTGTGCACTGGGCACCTTCCTGAAGTTCTACCAAAACTGCAGAGTGCAGGACAGAAGGATGACCTGAACACCAGGAGCAGTGCACAAAGAACTGCAGGGACACAAATGTGGTTCCCCCCAGGAGAAACACCTGACAGCAGCCAACAGGCACCAGTTTGCTAACAAAGACTCAAAGAGATCAACTCAAATCAACGTTTCTTTTTACAAACAGCAGAGGAATAAATGAGTAAAACATAGGAAAAATTAATGGCAAAGGATCTCATAAGTCATGAAATTCATAACGAAGAATAGGCCAGAGCACTTGAAAAAAAATTCTTTAAATTACAGCAGCTATACTGCCAAAAAGACCAGTGTGATTCTGTGTGCAGAGAACATTCACTGAGAAAACCAAGGACTGCTCAGTGATGGGTTTACTACAAGTCAGAAGACAGCTGCTTTAAATGAGTAAAAGCTGATGTTTCCTCACACTCACTTTTGGATAATTTTTTTATAGTAAGTTTTTTTTATAAAAAGTTTTGATAATTACTACAAAGACTCACAAAAATGTTCAGGTGTCTGTTACCAGCAATAACAGACCAATGCTATGAAAGCCAACTCTGTCTCCACCTCAGAGGGAGGACACCTGAGAGATCTTAATGCTAAAATTCCTCTCAGAACCTGGTCCTGGATCCACCAATTCACATCAGCAACATCTCCTGCAATGCTCTGGCTACTGAGGCTGAGTCTTTTCCCCTTCTCCCTGAAAAAAGGGAAAAACTTCTCAGGAAAATTGCTGACTTTATTCCTGCACCAGCTTCCTTGGAATTGCCAAGATTTTCCATCTTAGTAGCCTATATTTCAATCTTTTTCACAGTCAAATTTATTAGCAAGTGTGTACTAAAAAAAAAAACACACAAAGAATAAAGGCCTCCTGATTTTTCCAGTTTTGCTGCTGCTGAGCAACACTGAAAACAAAGTCACACCATCTTAAAAACAGGCATTACTTGCTTTACACCTACTGTATCTTTTTACAAGTGCTGTTGCTCCCTTCTGAACTGATCCCACCAAATTTCTTTTAGAAAGCTTTCTGGACACTTTTACAAGTATGAGTTTTCATAGCCCTGTATGCATTTACACAGCTTGACTATTCATAGTTCAAATAAACAGAAGTATCACTAGACCACTGAACCACAACAAAATAGAAGAGATTGTTTCAAAAATAAAAATAATACAGGAAAAGCAAACCTAGAAACACATACCAGAAGAGTATGGGGTTTCTATTTTTTTCTTTAAAACTACTTTTTAAATACAGAACAAGCATGGAAAAAAAAGCAAGAAATGCAGAAAGGCAAGAAAAGCTCCTGCTTGGTTCTTAGCACACTGGGTGTGACAAAATCAGACCCTCAGAAACTGGAGATGAAGATACATGGTATACATTACTTACAGCACCTCAAAAACACTACAGGATTGCAACATTGCCCAAAAAAGCCAACCAGCAAGCCATGTATTTGAAATCATTATGCCAACTTTTAATTCAGTCTCCTGCAGAATTACATCCAGTTAGAAAGATTTTGTACAGCTGACAAAGAATTTTCAAGATATCTTAAAAACTGTGAGCCCACGTACAACGTCTGAATAAGTAAATTCAAAAACTTGTTAAAAAAGAGAATACCTTTATTATAGAAAGATTTCATGAACAGAAACTACCATAAGGCAATTATAATTACAAACAGAAATTCGGGGGGAAAAGTGCTCAGTTGTCCCTCAGCTGAGCTCAATTTGAACTGAAAATTTTCTTCAAAATGCGTATTTTTATAATATAAAAATTTTATAATATAAATATAATATATTTATATTATAAATAATATAATAATATAAAATTTTTATAATATAAAAATTTTTAGAAAAATACAAGCATACCATGGTGTTACAGCCTATTCTTAGAGAAATAAGTACTAATCTGAGTTGCTATTCAACAATTTGATATATATATATAAAGAGCCTGAGTTTCAGCTGATAGCACATGCTTCTCTCCTACAGTAATTTTTAGGATAAAGCAATGGCTGAACTTTGGAGAGGGGTATTTTTCTGCTGGTTTTATTTTAGATGTGAGTAAATGGCAGAGGGCACCACCTCCCACTGTTCCAAACCCTGCAAGTATGGATGTGAGCACAATATTCCAGACTTACCTAAACTGTAATTTCAGGTAACATTCAATTTTTTAGTGTCACACTTAACTCCACACTTCTGCTTTCACGTGTCAAGCAGCACAGCAGTTAGAGCAGCTCACTCTCACCCAATTAGCCAAATCAACACCTAAACACTCCTAAACACGGAGACATTTACACCCACCAGGTGAGAACCAGTGACAATTATTCAGCACAGCTGGTCTGGCTGAAAGGACCACTGTGAATATCTAAGGTGTTACACACAGATATTTTAAAGGCTTCAGTTGAGAGGTTTTCAAAATTTTCTACCCATGTAGCCATGGGTACAGCTCTACAGCCCCACAGTTGCCCACTTTGTATGGATAAACAAACCCCTTCCATGACAGACACCTTGCAAGGATAAATGCCATGGGAAGGCAGTGAGCAGTCTGCCTTTTGATTTGCATCTTAACTACACTAAGCATCCTTGAGAGATGCACATCAACTCTTGCTCACCTAAAAGCACAGAAGCAGAACCGAACACATCAATTGCAAGAATCAAAACCCATGCAGAACAAACTGAAGTCAGTGCAGGAGCCAGCTGCTCACCAGAGGCCTGGATGTGGTTTTCTGGGGGGAATCACACACTCACAGCCACACAAGCACTCTGCAAAACTACCTTAAATGAAAACTGTGAATAGGAGGAAGTTTAACTTCATAAATAAAATGGCAGCCTAGATAAAGGAACAACCTGGGCAGGAAACAACACTGTCTGGTTTGCATTAATGATGATGTGATTTCAAACCCAAGGCTCAGCTTTAGTGCATTTCTGTGCCACTTGAGACAAGATGGGTGAGGCCACACTGCACCACCACACTTCTGTGGCACTTGTACATCCCAGAGCACAGCTAAGGTGCCTTACTGCCAGAAACAAAGATTTAAATCCCAAACTGAAAAAATGCAGTTCATAATCACAGGAGAGCACTCTACTTAAGACAAATTAAATGTCTACAGGAGCCACTTATGCTCTGTCAAGTGTCAATACATCCCAGGGTTTTGGTGTGCATTGTCTCCTTGCAGCAGTGATGTTTCATTACCTTAAGTCTCTGATTGAAAGCATCAAACAGCAGTTTGATTCCATCCTGAGTCAGGTTAAGGATGAGGTCATGGCTAAGAGGTGACTGTAAAAGCAAAGAAAAATGCTGTTAGGCTTCTAATTTCAAGACTTCTTTGTTAAGATATATATCACTGTAAAAGTATAAATTGGTTACTTTAGAAAAACAAAACTACCTCAGAAAAAAATCACTTGTTCAATGAATAAGCATAACTAAAATACATTTGACCAGATCTCTCAAACCTTCCATTTCCTTATGAAAAGAAATAGAAGTCCCTGTATAATATCTGTGCCCTGCAAAAACTCCTAGGAGTACTTTGTCCACTACTGTAAGTGGGGAAAAAGAAACCCAAAAAACTCAAAACAATATAACTCTCAACCCCATTAAAAAAAAAAGAAAAACAAACAAAACCCCACCTTGAAAATTAACATTCCCAGTTTAGCATCAGAGATTTCATCATCCAGGGACAGCCTCTGTTGCATTCTTGGTGCACAAAAACACCAAGTCTCACTCTCTCAAGAGCCAGGGATGTGCTTGACAAAGAGATGGCTTGCCACTTCAAAAATCAAACTGTCACAGTCTTTTTTAGGCCTCAAAAGGAAGGCTTCAGACTCTCATGTTGTGAATTTAGGTTTCCTTAGTTACTGTGAATCATAACAACTAAAGGCTTCATTTGCAGTCTGCTGGAGTCAATAGGAGCCATTCCTCTGGCTTTGCTGGTGTCCGTATGGGCTCTGCTGGGGAAGCTGAGGGCAGTGCACACAGACACAGCCACTTGGCCCCAGTTCAGCTTTTTGATCATGCACCATCTAAAGCACATTTGCTTCATAATGCTCTATCCCCACAGCTGGCTCAGAGGAGAAAAAAGGTTGAATGGCAGGCAGGCAGCAAGATTCATGCCCTAGAACTGCACCAGGCAGTTTGCTAGCTAAAAAATAGGGATGGACAACTGGGGCAAATAAAGGCTTCTAAAGTGGACAGCCACACCATACAGCCCTTTCATGAATAAACCATAAACTTTGCTCTGCTCAGAGGAGCTCTGGGGTTTGTCAAAAGCCCAATTCTCATCTTCAATTTCCTCACACCAGCACTGTCTTCTAGCCTTGATATCTTCTGAGCATTTCCATGTGCATGTCCCAGCCCTTCCCAAACCATACAGCCAAGTAATCAGGTCCTAGACCTCACATCCCTGAGTTAAAACAAGCCATGGGGCTTTCCATCCCCTGTGATGCAATTTCCTTTCCCCTGGGTCACTGCAGCAGCTTTCCCTGAAGCTGGTCCAGTTTGAGTCCATCTTTCCTGAACACCAGTGAGCTGTTGTGCCAACTCTGTCCTAAATGAAACTTCCACAACACTTCACACAATGCCATCAACTGATGGCACCTCACTCCTGCTGACAAACCTTTCTGGCTCTGTGCAGAACTGAAGCAGCATTGCCACAGAACTGTAAGCATGAGATAAAAAGGCCTAATGTTGATCATGGCAGTCATTTTCTAATCCCTTATAAATCTAATTTAGAAAGGCTACAGATAGAGCAAAACAACCTTGTAATCTGGCATTCAAATACACCAGCTGATTTGCTCTGCTATGGGATATGCTCTGCATTTTATTGGTTTCTAAATAGTTTCCATAAGGTTATTCCAAAATTAATGAGAGCATTACAAGTACTTTTGAGTGGATGGAAAAAAAAACCCAAACATCTGAGGAAAAGCTTGATAATTAGTACAGCAAATAGCTTCTGTTCTATGCTGGCATATTTTTCTAATACATGGAAAGATTCAAGGGCACAAATTTAGTTCATGTGACTTTCAATACACAAAACAGAACCTCAAGTATGAAAGATGATGCCAAGAAGCAACAGGAAAGATCTTCCTGAAGGAAGCACCACAGATCTGCAGTTATATTGCTGATCTACACAAAGATGCAGGAAAATCTTATCACTGAACAATGCCATCAGCCACAATGCAGAGAAAGAAGCTCAGGAAAACAAAGGCAATTATTTTAGGCAATTAGGCAACTCCACTTAAACTGACCAAAAATGAGTTAAAATTCTTTTATTCACAGAAAAGGACTCAAAGCTTTTTTGGCACAGTTTGGGCATCCCATTTATGTCAAGTTAAAGAAAGCACCATGGGCAGATCTAATTGTATTTAATTGCCATATAAATCTTTGAAAGGAAATACTCACTGCTGGAGTTCCAGGATCAGAAATTCAAATTTAGAGATGCAACAGCTTTAAATAACATTTGATCACAGTGCTCAAAGGCATTCTTTTACAAGGCAAAGAGGAAAAACATGAAGGCGGTTCAGGTAGTTTTTCTGAGATAGAAGTTGTGCATGGCAAAGTTAATTTAAGGCTTTGAATCTTCTAAGAACTGAGCTCTTTGTGCTCAGCTGCTAATGAAATGCATGACACTGTGCACAAGGGTGAGGACAGAGCCAGACAGTCAAATGCAGGCCCTGAGTGATGTGTGAAAAAAACCAGCAGGCACTGAATTGCAATAATAACAGGAGAAAAAAATAATCACCAGAACAATTCCAGAAAGGTGGGAACGACTATTTTGTCAGATGATGCAGCTGCTAAAACATCTTTAAAAAAAAACCCCAAACCACTAAACCTGCCCTCTGCAGCCAGAATAGAAGTTGAGTGCACACAGTCAAGAACATTTTAACTTTCCAAGAGGTGCAAAAAACCAAGGAGTGGTACACCTCTGCTTACTAGCACTGAACCACTAATCCTTCTGTGATTCTACAATCTGAGTGGAACAGGGATCTCATCATTTATCTAAACAACTCTAGAGTAATTCAAATGCACTGTGGTAAGAAAAATTAAAACTCTCCAAAGAATACAAAACACAAGAAACATGCTCACTGCCAGACAGATGCTCCCATGCATTAATCACAAGGAGCCAGATTTGCAATTCAGTCATCAGAAAACCCATAAATCCACATGAAGTGAAAAAAAAATTCATTTAGTAACATGAAATATGTATCCAGCACTAAACAGCAGAGTCAAGGTTGTTCTTAGCCATTCAGTACTCACTGCAAATGCACAAGGCCTGAATCCTTGTTTGGATACAAACTAACATTGTACAGACTCTGCCTTCTTCCTGATGCAAAGAGCTGTAATTTGCAACATATGAATATCATCTTCTTATTAACATGCATTGCACATAAAACATCTGGAGAGTCCCTTGAGACATCTGAGACTCCTTTGTCCTAACTCCCCTTACACTTCCATCACAATAACACATTTTACTTGATCTAGCAGAAGGGTTTTACTTCTTGATGGAAGTCAAACGTATCAGGAACTTACTGCTGAGTTATGAAGAATGATTAAAACATTTATAGCTGGCTTAAATCACTGCACCCACTTTCTGCAGACAAATTTGCAGATGCAGAGAAAAGGTGCAAAAGGTTTTTCATGGGGCTCATCACCACTGGACCAAACACAAGAGCAGAAAGTAATGAGTGATTCAGTTAAAATTGCAGCACCACTTCACAATGATAAAGTAAATAGACTAGAATTAAATTGTCCAGCTAATTACATAACATTTCATTTTTTAAAGGGAAAACAATGCCACTCCTCCATTGCATGTACAAAACTGACAGTCATTAAATCACTGTACTGCTGTGCTGAGGATTATTCCATCTGACAAGAAGCTTATAAAAGCTGCATCTCCCACAGGGTGGCAATAATTTGGTGTAGCTCAATTTCAAGCAGCCCCACAACTCTCCCAAAATGTACAAGAGCACAAAAGATGTTTTCATTGAGCATGAGGAGCCCTTCCTGGGCAGCCCATGCCTGCTCACCTGCTCGCTGTAGAGGACCTGGACGTTTTTGATAATGCGACAGTGTTTCTGAAGAATTGCTACAGCCTGAGCCAACGGCATTCCTGGAAATAAAAACAGGTTTTCTTCAGTGCAGACAGCAGGTAACAAAGGTTTTAACAGCAAGGTTACACATGAGGTAACCAAGCCACCATCAGCAAACACTGAGTTACAAAAGAAAGGTATGTGGTCAATAAACAAGCTGACCTGACTCATGGTATCAGCACAGAGCTGGCGTTTGGAAACAGAAAGTCATTGTTTATCCACCAGTTGTTGGGCATATATGAAAAAAAGGCTCTCTAGACACAAAATTAAACAGCAAAGTTCAAGCAGAAAGAGCAAGGAGCTTGCCACAGCCTGTGCACAAAGTTTTCTGCTTTTGGGGTCATCAGTCCAATAACTGATAAAACAGCCTAAATTAAACTGCACTAGAGCTGGCTGGGGCACTCCTACACATTCAACAGCTCCTGAAACAGCTTCCATTACACTTTATCCACCCTGGTGGAGCACTGGGCACAAACAAACACTAACTCAGGGCAATGATTCCCCTCAAACCTCAGAGGCCACATTAGCTGCTGATATGGCTCTACTTGTGTCAAGGAAGAAACTTTATCTTCTCACTTTACAGACAGGATATACATACTAAAAATTTGGTTCAATTGAGGCAGTGCACTTATAGTCACTCAGCCCCTCATACAATTCCAAGGGCTCTTTTTCTTTCCTTAGTGTGTATCTTATCTTTAAATTATATATTTTTGAAAGCAGAATGGAACAGCTGATTCTGCAGAAAAAACAGCACCACACCATCTCATCATTTATCACACTAAAAACCTTTGTTGCCTTTCCAAATGAAATGTGATCACATTCCTGGGTTCAAAGCAGGCATTTATAAAGTGAGGTTATGAGCTCATAACTGTGAAGTTTAATTTTCTTACTAACTGCTGCAAGTCAATGTAGATTTGTTATCTGACCTTTTATTTCCATTCCTTGCCCTGTCCTTTTCTATTTCTAATTTTTAAATGTTAAGAAAGTTGGCCTGATTAGGCATAATTTACCTCTGAACCTACATTTATTACATTCAAAACTTTTAGTTACTTGCTACACCAACCAAACTCAGACAATATGTCATGTCCTTTTAAACATTATCTACAGTATTAAAGTGAGAAAACTCTCTTTTCATATATATCTATTTATAACATACACACCAAGCTCACCATGGGTACTGCTTTAAAGTAATAATGGCATAACACTGAAAAAACCCCAAAAATATAATTTTCATTGTCATGCCCATATATTGCAGCTTTGCTGAAATGATGAAATCAAGTTTTGGTAAAACAGATGTACTGATTACAACTACAGTGATTCAATTTGCAAATACCACATACAAACCTGTCTGCCAAACTGGTTTTCACCTTAGCCCATAATCTTGGAGACAATTTGGTTTGCAGCTAGGAATTATACATCAGTAGATGATATTAAATAAAAAAAGAGTTATTAGTTTAATAACAGTAATGAAATTAAAATGCAGAGCCACACAATAAAGCAGCACTGTTTCCTATTATCTAGGAAACAGCAGTTGCCTTGCAGTCTAGGCAGCAGAGTTTGAAGCTGACAGTTATTATGTATTAGATAATATTTTCAAATGGAATAGAAACATGAATAGCAGCAAGAAGCTAAGATCAAAGATGCTGCTGTGGAAGTTCCACATTTCTCAGCCTAGCATAAGTATGAATCCAGAAAAAAAAGTAAGGCTGCCTGAAGAGTACAAAACCCACGTTCTAAGTCAGCACTCATGAAATCCCTGCAGAGCTAAGAGCATGGGCTCAGTTAAAACACAAACCAGTGGCACAGGCTGACAGGACCCAGGGGCCAATGGTGGCAGCAGCCTGGGGGGATTCAGTCACAAAGCACCCGGCTCAAGAAGTGCAGAAACACCAAGTTCACGTAAACTGATGCAATCCTGGGCTGCTAAGTGTGCAAACAGATGGCTCATGTGACTCCCTTACTCACAGCTTTCTCAGGCTGCGAGCAAATGGACATGGACTGCCTTGGTTCAGTTTTCAGCTACTGAGAATCAGATTTGGCCATGCAGCTGCTTAGCAGAGCTACAGTGAGCAACCCAAATTCTCCAGGAACAGTTTACAGGACCCAAAATGTGTTGAACAGCCAATATCCTCCCTTTGCCTCCATTTGCTTCTAGAAATTCAAAGGAGGAATAAAAAATGGGTTATTCTTCTCCAGTCTTCTCATACACAACATCCCCTTTTTCCTCAACATTCATCAGCCTTTGCAGTCAAAGAGGAAAACAAAGAATTCTTTTTCCCTTGCTCACCAGTCAGGGGAATGGGGAAGCAAACATGGTTTCCAGCACATCAGACACCCAACCAAACTGAGCCATGGCAGTAATGGCCACAAAGAACAGTGCTGGGGCTCCTCTGTCACAGACCTTCCCTCTTCCAAATGCTGGAGTGATACAGGCAGTTCCCTCACATATACTGGTCAGGAACATCAGGGCCTGAAGCATCAGCCTATGCTAAGAGTGTGGGGCTTGAAGGAATGGGGATAGAGAAGTGAATAAAGATTAGGAGAAAAATACAATAAAATTAAGATTAATCATAATGCATTAAATACATATACATGATACTCAGTAGGAAAAGTATAAAAGCCCAAGAAAAATGCAAGTAAGCCTTAGAAATTATACATCTGAAACACTAATAATATAGCTATAGGCTCTATAGAGTAAGTATTTAATTGTTCTCCTTTAAAAGAGCAGGAATGCAGCCCAAGAGGTGCAGTGGCACAGGTACCTAAATTCAGTCTCAGTTAAATTTTTCATGCTCCAGTCACACAGTGAGTCAACACCAGAGCCAGAAACAGAATCCAAAAAGTCATGTACAAAATTTTCCTGGCATTTCCCCTCAGTCATCTCCATTGTGGGCACAGAGCTGGAAGCCAGAGTCAGCAGCAGTTCAGGAGTACTGCCATTAGTTCTGCTAAGAGCAGAGCTAAACAAACAACGAGTGGAGCAGGGCTGGCAGTGAGAGCCCCAGTGACAGCAGCCCTGCCTCAGCTGCAGCAGCTCTGTCAGCAGGGACAACCCTCACACCCCACTGCTGCTGCAGGATAGGCAAGGATCCTCAGAGCCAGCCAGCCTCCTGCTCTGCACCAGCAGGTCATGCTAATTATATATTAGACACATCACGTGGGGGCCGTGTTTACTCCAAGAAATACAGCTGAGTTTCCCCCTCTCACATCTATGCATGTGTGTGTTTGTGCACACACACAGAGACACTGGAAAACTTTAACCATGAGACTGCACTGACAGGCTTTCCTTGGGGTAAGGAAGAACATTTTCTCTTTCCTTTTCTTGTTTTGATATGGAGAATGGAGGGGAGCTGGCACTCTATTTATGAAGACAGGGTAGGCAGCTGGAGGTTGCTCTTCCCCAGGTAACACAGGCACTAAAGGATGGCAGAAGGTGACACAAGCTGAGAGCACAGGACATTCAGGGTACAAGGAGTTCCCCAGATTTCCAAGGGTGGGACCTGAGGTGCTATAATTAGCCTCCAAAGCCACTGAGCCCTGTCTGTACCATCAAGTTGTACTTGAGTGAAGGCACAGCAGCACAAACAGCCCTTTGTGTTTGACGGGTTTCACATAAACAACCCCAAGGCACAGCACTGCTCCTCAGGACCAGCCTAGTTCAGGGCAACTGTGTAACAGTGTCCTTAGGAACAGTCTGTGCCCTGGCGGCCAGGTGACAGGAGCAGCAGCCCCAGTGAAACTCCAAGCAGGCACAGAGGGTGACACACAAAGGGCTCCTTTACACCCACCAAACCCTCGCCACCTTCACACACAGAGCTGCAGCAGTGATGAAAAACGGAAATGAAAGAGGCCAACACTGATCTGTCACACAGCCACCCAGCAAAGGTGACATCTACAGCACTTTCTGAGAGTTTTAAGGACTACCAATATCTGCGTGAAAACACAGGTTACCCAGAGAATCCACATCATCTCATGTAAGTGTCCTGCCTGAGCACCAAACAAATCTGCATCAGCTGAGGAAAAGTTCTTTCTCATCACGGTAACTACAGCAATAACTGGCAGGGAAGGACTACTCAGCAAGATGAAAAAATACAAGTGATTGGGGGGAAAAATACTTGTTATCCAACCCTGAGAAAATATCTCCAAAGTTTACTTTCTCCACTATTTCGCAACCAAACAGCGACACAAAGAAATTGTGAAACTCGACTCATGTTTATGAAGGGTTTGTACAGAAAAGCGCAGCACTTGGAGCAAGTACCACCTGACACATATTCAGGTGACAATCAGCACATTCATGCTTCCTCTTTTCGGAGTTATTTAAAAGAATGACTAGTCTGACAGGGCAAGACAAAAGAAAGCAAACGAGCAGATGAAAGCACACAATCAGATAAACAAAAGCACAAGTTGGCACGCAAAAGCTAAAGGTGAAACTATGAACAACAAGGAAATGCTTACAGCCCGTACTTTAGTATTTTTAGCCATAGCTAAAGGCGAGCTGTGCCTCTCGCTCCCTTTTTCTCCCTGACACCCCGAGAGCGCTGGGAGAGCCCCCCGGGACCCGCAGAGCGCAGGCCGGGGGCAGAGCACACTTACCTAAGGTGAACTCCCATTGCTCGTTCCCCAGAGAGCGCTCGGGCACCACCTCCAGATCGAGCATTGGCTCCGGTAGCGCGGAGGCC